TCTAAAGAGAACCTACCCTCCCCCCATTTCTAAAACTAAATAAAATAAATTAAAAATTTTCATCTTTATTTAACCATAAAGTAATTAAATATGTATAAATATACAGTATCATAAAACACTATGCTGGCGTAGTGTGTACTACACGAAGATCTAGTAGTTTCTGATAAATAAAGAAAACGAACAAGATAGTTTTCAAAACAATACAGAACCCTACTGTAGCAACAAAAAGACAGCTGCCGAAACTATTATCAAGAACTAATAAAAACATTTACATTTAAATTATATTTGTACCAGTCCGCAACGAAAAGGAAAACTTAAAATAGATTATAAGCAGAAAATGAAATTAATAAGTCCCAAATACACCTTTAATCGTTCTAGCACCATTAAGAGGTTTTGAGGGTTTTCGTGTATTTATACTGTATGTTTAAACAGAACATACAGTATAAATACACGTTATCATAAAAAATGGCAATATGAAGGCATGCAATAGTACTCATATGTTCATATGTGTAATGAGTAGAGGTGGTAGCTGCAGACTAAAAATTCTGAAATTCGCCTAATCTCTCACATTGAAATAATAAATCTATTATGAAATAAACATAATTTAATTTGTTAATGCTAAATTTTTAACGACTTGGTGAGAAATAAAAATATCAATTGAAATATAATCAATAATAAAACTTAAACCTAAACTAGTAGCATATTTATTTTATGTATTAGAAATTAATTGAATTATTGCACAAGCACTAGCTAGATTTGACAAACAAAAAATTACTTTTAAAAAAAATCTTAATGAAATTTTATTAACTGTTTCACTGTTATAAAGTTATAAATAAGCAATATAATTAATCATGAGAGGAGGCAGCCACTGTATACATATAAAAATAAACAGCATGCACGTGCTACATGCAAAGAATCTGCCCACAAAAGAAATAATAACATTAACAACACTAAAAATAAAAATCTATAGTACTCACATGGCTTTTGTTTTTTGTCATATGCAGTTCATTGAAGTTCCTCAACCCCTCATGATGAATATCAAACTAATCTTATTTCTGAATAATCTTAAATTTTATTGAGTATTTAAAAAAAGTGAAATATACTTTAAAATTATAAACAGTAATTTTATTAATATTTTCTATGAAAAAATGATCGAACTTTTGTTCTGCCTCGTATGTGAGTAAATATATATAAAAAAAAGACTAAAGTCAACAGAGAATAGCATAATGATATACAAGTATTAACGTATAATAAATTAATTTAATTTAATTATTTATTTAATATTCTCAAAGAAAAATTTTTTGCCTAAGGAGATGGATTTCCTGCTGCAGACTGGAGATCCTGAAATTCGCCATCACCTCTCACATTCAAATACTAAATAATTATAATATGATAAAAAAATAATCACACTTAATTATTTAACAAATATATTAATTCAATAATTTTCCAAATACTGAACAAAAGCTAAATGAAAAGATGTTTTGATAAAATCTGAATGAATTTCATTTAAAACATATTACAATTTTGAAAGTTAATCTAATGAATAGTGAGAGGCAATAGCAACGAGGAACATATCAAAATAAAACACATTACACATCTACTGCACAACATGCACCATGAGCTTCGCCAAGGAAAGGCAAGTTGGGGTGGCTGACCATCTCCCCGATAATGACATAGAAAACATAAATAGCAACTAATATAACCCCAAATTTCTGAAAAACTGATAGACAGTGACAGGTAGATTTTGTATTTTAATATTTTAAAAGAAACTAATTACGAAAAAAACGACACCATCCACTTGAAATATTTTTTTTTTTTTTGTTTAAACTTATTTATTGCAAAATATTACAATCTGTCTCTAGGACATAATGAAATAAATTAAATTTAAAAACTTGCCCCCTCTTCCATTATGTGGGAAATTTTTTTTAGCTGGCTAGGCTCTTGCCTACTATATGCATATCAAAGTAGAGCGGTAAGTGAAAGTTGTGTGTTGCGCACATCAGATTTTTTTTTTTTCATTTTATGGTATTCATAAATTCAAAATGAAAAAAAAAATTTAATAATGAAATTTCTTTCTAAAAGATCAAACCCACATAATATATATTTTAATTTATTGATAAAGAAAATTCAACAATGCTATTTTCAATTCCCTACTCAAAAATTCTTTTCTAGTTCAGATTAATAAAAGAAATTCATGGAAACTTCCCATTGAGAAAAATTATTTAAAATCACATGATGTGTTTTTCATGAATAATAAAAATATAGATATCAAAACTTAAAATTTCTCTCCATAAAATTTTGATTTTTCAGGAATACCTCATTTAATTTATTACCTTAATTATTTATTAAATTGAAAGGAACAAAAATTAGCGCATGGTCAGAACTATACAAAATATCTAAATTCAAACAGTGTAAAAAAAAAATAATGATTTTCATGAAATATACATTTTGTTTTTAAGAAAGCAAATTAGATTACAATAAAGCTAGAAAATAAAAGATAAAAATTAAATAGAAAAGTTACATTTCTTATTTGAACTAATTTCTCACCTGAAAAATTCTAATATATTGCTTAGAATATAAAAACGATATTAAAACTATCCACTAATTACTATTAGTTCTTTTTACCTCCAATGGTACTGGGTTCTTTTGGAATCTCTTCTCAAAGTTGGCGGTTATTGCAACTATTTAGTCAACTTTGTTAGATAGTAGTGGCCTCTGTCGGCAATTTATGAAAACAAAACTTGTTATCTTGTTTTCTTTTTTAATATTAGTTTCACTGGTTGTCAGTGGACATTGACATTTGTGAATTAAAAAATAAAGAGGAAAAAAAATATATTAGTTTCAATAAAACATTCTCTTATTCCTTCCCCTTTGTAATTTTATTTAAAATTTGACCTTAGTAAATAAATTCACTATGGGAATAATTGCCCACCATCAATATTTTTGAATCTCAGATTTTTATCCATTAAATTTGTTTTTAATTGAATCAAATTATACCTTCAAATTAATATTTTATTGCAAAGTTCAGATAACCAAAATAATAAATGTAAACTTTCTTTAATAATAGGGTATATTTTTTTAATATAAAATATACAAAACTAAGGTATATTTTTTAAACATATAACAGATTTTTTTTTGTAATAGGCAAAATAAAATTAAACCTTTGTTTTTCATTAATTTTGTCAACATTCTAAACTATTTGTTCTGTTGCAATTCTTTTACTTTTTTAAAAACCTTATTATTTTTATAAATTACAGAATCAACTTCTATAAGTGAGGCTGATTGATTTCTGCATCATTTGCATAGGTATGTAAATAGCAATTTCACAAGAAAAACCTAATTTTCAGGGTGAGAATTACTAGCAACTGGACAATTCCACAATTTTCCAAGTGGCTTTGTGGGATCATAGATAACAATATGCAACAAAAATCACTTTTGAGGGGGCTTAAAATCCAATTTACTCATTTGTTAGTGGTGGTAGTAATAACTGTTGCTGTGGTTCACCAACAGAAAAAATGATAAGAATAAATAGATAAAAACTCATCAAATAAAAGGAAAATTATAATCAAATTTATTTATAGCAGTTACATTATTTGGTTAATATTTATCACAAAATGTAACTCAATAATCAATTACAAGTCATCAAAAGTGAGTATTCAATGAAAACAAAAATTGTTGGCATGTCTGGGAGGAAAGAAAAATACAAATAAGAAAACTTATTTTAATGTATACAGATATTTCAGTATCATTTGCATACCTTTATCATGGGGACAAGTTTAGTGTTCTACAATTGGACTTCTACTATTTGCTGTAGAATAAATAGTATGTTTTATTTTCTTATTAAAATAAAATAATTATAAACTAATTTTCTGAAAATGTATACCTTACCCTTCACAAACCACATACCACACAGTAAGTTCAAAATATGATTTTAGTAAACAAAATCCCAGTCCTTTAGTTAAAAGTTAAAAATAGGCCAGAATGTTATAAGCAATTCTTTAGTGAAATACTTCATGAAGAATATTTTTAATTAGTTACTGTGTATGGATCATTGTTACTGCCAAAGAATCATTTGATAATAATAAGAATGATTGATGCATGGTAATGAGAATTTGAAGTTTACAAGCTTGCTTATCCAATCTTGTTGTCCAGATATTGAGAAGAAAAAAAAACTTTCTAGACCTATAATAGTAGGCAGAACTGTGAAATTAGAAAAAAGAAATAAATAAATTAATATTTCAGGAAATAGAACATTATTGCGCAGTAATAAGGGGTATAAACATATTCTCTTGAAAGAAATCTTATATCTAATAAACTGAAGCATCGATAGGTGGTCAAAAATTAAAAAAATAATTTCCCAGGTCAAGGCAGTATACCCGTACAAAGTTAATACACATGTTCCATGAAACTCTCTCAAGTATTGGAACTCCAATGGAGATTTATTTCACTGCAATTATCTTAATATTAAAACCACAATATGTTTTAACTTAATGTAGCTCTAATAATATAAATGAACATATGGATTATAATCTCTGTAAGGGAAAAACCTAATAAATCTGTAGCATTGTTAACTGATAGTCGAGAGCCACAAAAATTTGGTTTGAAAGACTGGACTAAAAAACATCTTTATTTTCTTCTCGTTATTTTCATTGGATGGTTTATATTGCACCTAGTTATTTTTGGGATGTACTCCTGAAAACAATATTCTGGAATCCTGATCTTATTAACAAGTCAAAGAAAATCAAAGTAAATTTCATAAAATGTATGATTGTACAACATCCTCTCAATAATATTAAAGTAATGATGAAGGCCGAGAAACAAACATCTATAGAACAAACCAATAAATCATTTTGGGAATCATGAGGTAACAAATGCAAAATTTCAATTGAAACAAATTTGATGAATTTAATAGCTTTTTACATCAATATATACAAAAATTGACTAAGACTCTAAAATAACAATAAAATATATTTACATGATTAAATAAACATTTTATGATTCACACAAAAAGTTTTAAGTTAGTTATAATACAAGAAGTATGTATATGGATAACTAAAACACACCACACAATTAATTATACCAATGTTCAATAAGATTCAGAAGTTTAGAGGACCATGTTTTTTTTTGTTTTCAAAATTGGTTTAAGTGGAAAAATTAAGAGTAAATATATATTCAGTAGCAAAGAGATCAAAGTATAAAATAAGTTTTTAACTAGGCAAAAACTAAATTTAATATTTATCAATATAATTATAACATCACTGTGCCTAGCTAAGGCCGTGTAAATAAAAATAATTCTTAGAAAATTTTTAATTTAATCTTAAATTATAGGTACAATGTCAGACAAAGAAAAATAAACTTGCTTTTTACAGTACAATAATTATTGCATAACAATACTTTAAATGAAAATAACTCAATATTACATTTTATTACTTCGACCCCTAATATTCTGAACTCCTTAAATGTTAATTGTAAATTTTATTTACACTCTAAAGTAAGTCAAGAATCATTCACAGATTTTATTTTCCACGATATGCAATAAAAAACTTTTCTTTTTGGTGGGAATTTTTTTAACTTATTTTTTTATAAAAAAGAAAAATTAGTTTCATTAAAGCTTATTTTTATATTATATTTGTTTTATAATTTATAATATATACAATGAAGGGTTCGAGGTCAAAGCATGGTTTTTAACTTCTGTTATATCTATTCCCCCAACCTCTTTTGTTTTCATCTTTAAAGTCGTCCATTGCTCTTTGTCGAGCAATCTCATCTGAATCATCTTGTTCGACCAGAATTTCCCTCTGTTCTTTTTCCATCTCTTCCTTAGAACCAGTACTGGTTTCTTTCAAATTTCTGACTTCTTGCTGTAGATCGCGATGAGCAGGAAATCTGTTTTAAAAATAAAATAATTATATAACGAACACTAACAATTATCATTTAAAAAATAGCTAAGAAATAAAGATAGGAAAAAAAACAAAAGATACTGTTCATAGGAATAAACCAGGTGATTAGAGAAAGGTTCCTACCATGATTTCTCCTGAATTAACTCTTTCAGTACCGACTGAAAACATGATGTGCTCAAAAACTTGGCATTTGTAGAGCTAAATGATGATTAATGAATGAATGAAAAATAATTGTATTCTGGGACTTACGTCCTTTAAGAATAATAAATAACAAGAATTCAAAAGTTAGTCAGGCATGAAGAAATTGAAAAAAAAAAAAAATGCTTGACAATTAACTATCTATTGTAATTGTAATTATGTAGTTAATTGAATTATATAGTACACAGAAACAAATAAATTTTACATGGTTCACATATATACAAAAAATAAAATCAAATGGCACTTGTCGACTAATTGTTGATGAGCATTTGTAATTACAAAATTTAATAAATTTCAAATGGGATTTTGGAGAGAGAAATTATATACATGTAAAAGTGCGGGAAATAAGGCTGGAAGACAAAGTTTGATTATTTTAACAGATATTTGGTCAGGTCCATAATCGTTGTTTTAAGGATGGCATTAAGTAGGTCAGTAGAAGAAATATCAAGCAAATAAAATTTATCAGGATAAAAAGGGATTTCAAAGATAAAAAAAAGTGAGAGGTCAGATGAAAAATGATGCGAAAGGGAGATGGCCAGTGAAAAAGGAATTTAGCTTGTTTGTATCTACTGGATATTGGGGTCAGATTTTGGAACTGATGACTAAGAGGTTTTTAAGGAATCTCCATTTGAATATAGAGTCAGGTAGTTGGGATAAAATGTTCTTTAAGTATTGGGTTTAAGTGCAGCATAGGGTTATTTGTGTGAGGTTTCCTAGGGATTTAAAGGAAGAATAGTGCAGAGGTAATCGTATATATTTTCTGGCAGCTTCTCTTCTTCTCATTAGCTTTCTTATTTCTGAATTAATCCAGGGAGCGGGAGGATGTCTGAAATTGGTATAGAGGTACCAATGCTAGTGTAATTTACTTAAGGCCCTAAATGCGTAGAATAGTTCAAATTTGTTATTACAATAATTAATTTTACATGATGATAATCTGGGGCGGGGTGGCTAAGAGGGAAGAGGGCTAACGCGTCTGCAAAACACGTCCTACAACCAGTTGTCTGATAAACCGATGTTTAAAAGGTATAATATAATTACGAGTTCGCGTTCCGGTTCCGGGGAGCTTTTAACTCTGGGGCATTAATCCTCACACTCCCTCCTGGCCCGGAAAAATCCCCGTATCCTTAAAATCCATAGCCTTAAAGTAAAGGAAGAGGTAGGCAAAAAAATAAATAAATAAAAAATAATAATAATCTGGTGACTTAGTATTCAGCTGAAATGAGGTTGAGAATTGACTTCTAAAGGCGTATTTTTGAAAGCGAATAATTCGATGATGTATTTGATGTCTAATTTATTCCTTCAATAATAACACAGTTTTTAAGACAAATGTTTTGGAACAGCAGTTTGCTTATAATCATGCAGCTCTTTTTCGAAACGGTAAAAACTTATTGAAGGTGACAACATTAATAGAATAATAATGTGGGACTGGTTAAATAGTTTTGTATTAAGACATACATTTTTCTGTACAGCTATATGTAAAAATAATTTATTATTAGTGATTTTCCATTAACAAAAATTTATATTTAATGATAAAGCAAACTGTTTCTTTATATATGAATATGTTTATTTATTATATATAATCTGACAGGGAGATAAAATTGAAATCTCGACAATCTTGCTTCAGGTGATTTTATTTAAATAATTCAATAAACATCATTATATTGATGAATTAAAATCAATACTGTTAACTATTTAAAATGCTATAAAAGTTTCAAAGGAGAAAAAAAAAAAATCTGTAAATCCAAATTTCTACCTCATTTCAACCACAAATCAAAGGTTTCAAAGTTCTTAAGGTTGTATCATGTTCTGCAATTTAAATTAAGTGGGAAATATATTTAATCTTATTTATGAGATATGAAGTATTTATTTTAATCCATCGAGATTTGCCATATTAGCAAAGGGCTAAGCTATTGATTTTAATAGACAGAATAAACTGCTATCAACCAAGGATGGACTAAACATTAAGCTGCTTAGCAGCCATACAGTCTGAGTTAGGAAAAGAATCCAAAGGGGCCTCGGTGTGACTTAACTATTGGATTTTGGAAATAATTGAAAAGGTTTAAAAAGTAGGTCCCAACTTGCCTTAATTCGTCTCTGCTACTGATTTCAAATAAAAGTTACTATATACTTAATTGGCCAATGCCTAACCAATTAATCAATGCCCAAGTTGGTAAAGAAATGGTATTCTGTCCAAATATTGGTCATGAAGGTCTCCATCAACCCACAAATGATAATGGCGAACAAATGATTGATTTTGCTATAAGTAATGCATTAGTTGTAATGAGCACAGTCTTTCCTCACAAGAACAAACATAAACATACTTGGAGAGCACCAAACTGAGCATATAGCCAAATAGACCACTTTTTGGTATCGATGGAACATTCCAATTGTATGAATGATGTAAGGTCCTTTAAGAGTCCAGATGTAGACTCTAACCGTTTTCTGGTGGTAGGTAAACTAAAACTAAGATTTTATCAATATCCAAGTAAAGCTAGTAGTAGGAAAAAGAAATGGTGCCTAGAAAAGCTAAATACATCTGACAAACAGAAAAATTTTAAAGAGGAGACAACAAAAAGAATATCTGAGATACCGGCCATCGAAGGAGATTATTCAATTGAAGAACATTGGAAAATACTGCACCAAGTACATAATTTTTGAACTCTACTATTATTCTAAGGGGACTTCAGTCCCAGAATAAAATTATTTCTCATTTCATTTCAAATAATAGAAAAAACAGCTGATGAACATTGCAGCAGTAAACAGTCCAGTATTTGCAATGAATGGTACAACTTGGAATGTGAAGAGGTCCTGAAAATATGTAATATCAAAAGAACTAACTTTCTTAGCCACGATACTCGGCACACAAGAAAATAATAAAGGGATTCTCATGCTTATGTGAAGAAGATTTGAAAGAAAAAGAAGAGGATGCCATGAACAAAAAAATAAGAAATATAGAATCATCCCGAGTGAATAGAGAGACTAGGAAATCTTTCCACAAAATCAAGGACTTTTTTTATTTGTTCCGACATTATTTTTGCACCAAGGCATGCAAGCCTTTGAAGCTTGCCATCAATCAAGGACTTAAAAATATCAAATAAATCAAATGAAACAATGAAGAGGGATGAGAAGGGTGCACTTCTTACAGTGGCTGATGAAGTAATGAAAATATGAGAAAGATACTTCAGAGAGTAGTTGAATAGTTCACATGAAGAATGCGACGAATAGGACCGAGATGAAAGTGATCAGGATGAAAGGACAGACAAAGAAATGCCCTAAAACATGGATGCTTAATAAATCAGTTACGCAAAGGCTTGATCGCTTCGAGAGGAAGATCCTGAGACACCAGGACAAGTGTCTATCTTTGGACAAGTCAAAGAAGCCGAAGCTTGAAATCTGAGCCTGGAATGCGGATTTGTATGGTGAATATCAGGATTTGAGTATCTCCAACTTCACTAGGTTCCAGAGAATAAAATGGATTTGTTATCTCATGGATGGAAGACTATAGGTGCCCTCTAAAAGCGTACAGAAACACTCCAAGTGGGGACAAGGGAAGACCCAGATCACACTGGCAAGATTGTGTCCTCACAGACAAGATAAGCAGGTATGAGCATATCACATGCTGCAGATAGGTTTGGTACTGTTTCATTAGCTGGGCGGCTAGAAATCTCACTTGTTATCTAATTATCTATGTCACGTCACATAACCTCCCTCTTCTTATCTCGCCAAACCTTTCAGTTATTACATTGTCAGCCTGGCAAAGTGATTGAAGTAGACGAGTCTTCTTTCTAAACGAAAAAATCATGTGGGGAGAGTTTTACCTGAGCAATGGATGTTGGTGGAGTTTGCCGAGAAACAGATGAGTGTTTCATGGTCAAAATAAATGACAGAAAGGCAACAACCTTATTAGAAGGAATTAAAGACAATATAGAAGAGGGAACCACCATTTATTCGGACTGAAATGATACAACACCCGACAACTGAACGAAGCAAACTATAACCATTTCCAAGTGATTCACCGCTATAATTTTATCGATCCATCAACTGGGGTTCATACCCAACACATAGAACGATTATGGGGCTCAGCTAAGTGGAGAAATAAAATACATAGAGGAACTGCCAGACAACACCTCAATTCATGTTTATGCGAATTTTAGTGGCGGCGGGTTCACAAAGAAGAGGACGCACTCCTCGCTATTTTAAATAGCATAAAACTATTTTGCTTACCAAAATAAATAAGAGGAAGTGAAAATAAATTGTACATATGTCGTTTATATTTTTTCTTTTATATGTACATATGTTCTTTAAGTGTTTTTTATTATTTCATTTTCATCTTTTATACGTACATATGTTCTTTAAGTGTTTTATTATTATTTCTTTTTCATCTTTTATATGCACATATGTTCTTTAAGTGTTTTTTTATTATTTCATTTTCATCTTTAATATGTACATATCTTCTTTAAGTGTTTTTTTATTATTTCATTAATATATATGTCGTAAAATAAAAGTTTTTTTTTGTTATTACATTTGTTTTTGTTTCTATTTACAACTTCAATAATACAAATATAATACAATAATACAAAGATATGAATTACGAGAAGGCTTATCACTGCCTTATTGGAATTATCAGTGTTCAGGTTATAATGAAATTATTTTCATTGGAAATAACTATTTAACAAAGTTATTTACTTCTTGTTCTAGAAACTTTCAAACAAATAGTGTCAAAAATTGGAAATTTTATCTGTTTTTTATTATTGTATTATTTGGAATTAATCAGATGGTGAATATTGTGGATGTGGAAGACCTTTAATTTTCAGATCACATAATTTTCATTAAGTAAACTGAAAATCATGTTTTAACAAGGTTCTAAAATTTAAAGTTTTACCACATTCACTCCTTTGAATAGGGTCTAACAGGAGGGAATTCGGTACTTATTTCCACCTAAACCTCAGAAGACATAAGAACACAGGGGGTGATTGTAACAATCCCCACACTATCAATAAGGCTTTAAACAATGTTTACAATCTACAGCTGGACCAGAACTTGTGAGCTGAGAGTTCAATGCCTTATCCATTATGAAATACCTATAACAATTTGCAGATTTGAAAAAAAAAATTATGCTGGGTACATAATCCTATTTAATTCTGAAGACACTCGCTCCATTCATTGGAGGCTAAATAAGATCTTACTGAACATGAATAAGTAAAGAACTCATTAGAAACCATTTTTATAAGGAGCATATTGTAAACGACTAATATCTCATAGCATTTATATTTAGATACTTATCTATTTCATCAACATAAAATTTAATATCATTAAAAATACTTACATTCCTTCTTGAACCCTTTTATCATAGAATTCTTGAACAGTCATGGTTGGTAAACTTGGATAGCCAGCACCAAACACTGCTTTTTGAACCTCATCCCTTGTAATAATCACTGGCATCAGTGGTTTAGGAGCAGGGGGTCTTCGTTTTTTACTTTCTTCTGAATTTGAAAGTGAATCTTCCTTTGCCACACTTTTCATATGAGCTAATATTTTCTTTTCCGACTGCAAACAATCTAATTCTTCCTCAGCTTTTGAAACAAAGGATTTAATTAATTTTAAATAGTAATCCCTTTTCACTTCCTCATCGACAGTATCTGATTTAAGTAATTTTGATAAAGTGCTTAATTCTTCTTCAAGAGCTTTTTCTTCTTTGAATCTCTGAATTTTAGAAGCCCTAGTTCTTGCAGCACCAACTAGATCAAACATAGGCCTTTTATTTGCAGTTTTATCCTCCTCTTCTGACTCAAAGGACACAGGCGGGGGAATATCAATATTGGATATACCATAGTCATTACATCTTTGCAAAAAATCCCGAAAATAAATATCACTTGTTTCAACAACTTCAATCCTCGATCGAACTGTCAGCTTCAATGCTAGTGTCCCCAGAAGAGCTGGTAATAAAAATAACCTAAGGTTTTCAGTGGCGACTTCATCAACAGATTCATTAGAACTGAATATTCCACCCATTGATGTGAGGCGTGTTGCTTCTTCCAGCATCCGCATAGCTTGTTTGATTTTATTCTGAAGAAATAAAAGCCAGAATATTAAATTAATTATGTAACCAAGCATTTGTTGAGATATTATTTCATTAAGAAACTAAGATACATAAATAAAATCAATATAATCTATCATAAATAAAAGCGATAATAAAAAAATGAAGAAAATTAGGAAAGAAAATAATACCTGTATAACAATACTGTTTGTGGGTTCATCACAATGTGAGACACAGTTAAACAAATCATACCCTTCATCAAAAAGTTCTAATAACTTCTTTTCTTCGTTATCTGAAGTCGCCATTTGAACAAACTGGTAACTAAACACTCAAATATTTTCCAATACCGTCATAGAGGTTAGACACCACCAGGTAGTAAACATTCAACCAAGTAGCCAACATAAAAATATATTTAAAATTCAACAAATAAAATACTTTGTTTCAGGGCATAGGAAAATAGAATATATATTAACATATTCTTCAAATATTGATAATTATTTTTTAACCTGGATGCTTTTAGTTAATTTTCAGATGAAAGCCATTTCTATTCCCTCCCAAATTTGTTAAATACAAAAATCTATACTCATATTTAAAGCATACAATTTTAACTATTTCAATTTTTTTTATATTATTATATATTATATGTTGGATTTTATAAATTAGTAGACTGATTAGACTGATCCATGTAATTTATCGCTTGATTTATTAATTTCTGACTAAGTATTTCAGAAACACTTAATTTTTGTAGTATAAAGTAGAATAAAATCTTGTAGCATATGTTTTTTGTAATGTTTGAAATTTCTTTACATTTCGGAAGATTTTCTAATATGTTACCAGTTAACAATTTGTTGTTAGGAAACCTTTCCTAAGTCCCTTATGTTATAAGTAAATGTTTTCTTAAATAGTTACGATTAGACGTTTGTAGTAATTGTGTAAATAAATAAGAATTTAGTATTTACTTTATGTGATTATTCTTTTATACTCCATTTTCAGAGGCATGGTACATAATCATAGTAAGTGATACAAATTTTGTATTACTTTTCTTGTTAGTGATGTTTTGTGTAGTTTTAAGTGCTAATTGTTCCTCATAATCCTTACCTTATTCTGTCCAGTTATGAGTAAGTTATTGTGAAATTTGAAAAATGTATGGAGATTTGGATTTCATATTCATTGGAATGAAAGTCGTGTTTTTGTAATGTCCTCTTACATAGTTGTTTTATGTTTATTATTAACAATAATGAACCTTTTTAATCATCTAAGAAGAAAAATATATCCCTCTATTCTCAGAATTTGAGATATTGCGTTTCAAAAAACGTAAAATTAAGAACAACGAATTTAAGGAACTGTCAACCAAGGATGATCCTCGGGCCACTTAATTTTGTCAAATGTGATATGTTACAATTTGATTTTAAAAATGAGTCTGAGAAGGGCGAAACAATCTCTGTCAAAGAAAAACAAGATATTATAAGAGCCGTAATCAGTGGCGATTTTTGTTCCTCTGTTGACGATAATGTACATTTTAAGAAAAACGGATAAAATCGCCTCTCAGGCTAGGAGCAGTAAAGTAAGGCGCTTCAAGATGGATGAGCAAGTACCAAGAACTGGAAGATCATTTAAAATTATGGTTAACTCAACCACATTATTCTAAATAGCCGATAAAACAAGAAAAAGCCAAAGCTTTTGCAGAAAAACGGGAATTAACGATTGGATTTCATATTCATTGGAATGAAAGTCGTGTTTTTGTAACGTCCTCTTACATGGTTGTTTTTCGTTTATTGTTAACAATAATGAACCTTTTTAATCATCTAAAAAGAAAAATATATCCCTCTATTCTCAGAATTTGAGATATTGCGTTTCTAAAAAAGTAAAATTAAAAACAACGAATTTGAGAAACTGTCAACCAAGGATGATCCTCGGACCACTTAATTTTTGGGTAAAAGTAATATAATGTAATCGAATGAGCAACGTAGCAGAAGTAGCATATCGTCAAATAAATTCTTACCCTGCATCCTGACTGGACAGGCCGCGTGCGATGGCGGTGGACGCTAAATCGGACGACCAAAAAGTCAAACTTAATTAATATTTATCTTTCTTTTATAAATATATATTGCTCTTATGGTCATAATTAGAGATGGGCAGTACTCGATTACTACCATGATTTGAGTACTTTTATTAGGAAAAAGTAACCAATAGTATCTGTACTCGGTCCCACCGCGGCGAGTACTGAGAGTACTCACTCTGCATGAATCATACGTTAGTTAAGTACAGAAAATACTTGTGGTGTTATATCCGATTACAGAAACTATTCAGCTAAATTTGTCTGTGTATTTTTTAACTTTCAACTACTACATCATTATTATGAGTATAGATATTTTCTCTTAATTCCTTAAATAATGGCGTCCATATTCGGGTTATGTAAGATCCACTAAATTAACATTAGGGTCTACTATTATGTTATTGGAGGCGTTTTTTAATAAAATACTGTCGGATTTGAGAATGTGCAACCGCGTATCAAGTTCTAATAACTTTTGGAATTTAATTCATATTAGGATCCACTATTATGTTATCGGGGACGGTTTTTTATGAAAATATTGTCGGATTTGAGAATGCGCAACCGTTCATAAAATCTACTCCTTCCGTGTCTCTCCCACCATCACCATTGTTCTATGTAATATTCATTTTTTTAAATATCTCCAAGTATTCATCATTTGATCTAGGGATATCACTGCAAATTTTTATGTTTTCCAACTTCGCTTCACTAGAAAATTTACCTGTTATACTTTCAATTTTGACATCATGCTCAACTTTTGTTTCAACATTCCCAAAAAGATTATATGAAAGTATTTCTTCCTTTTCTTTCTGTAATTTCTCTCTTGAAGGACTGATAGTTGCTGAAATATCATCATGCCAAGTTTTATTTGAATGCTCAACCAAAGCATCAAATATAGTTTTTATTTCTATCCACTTGTTCTGATAAGTTATGGATGCATCAAATTCATTCTCCAGGTCTTTTTCATCAAATAGTATCAATGCCATTACCTTTTTCTCGAACTCTAATAGATGTTTAGCTCTTGCTTCTAGTTTTTTAAATTCCTTTTTGAAGTCAGGGTCATTTTCAGCTATTTTCTTTTCTACGGAAGTAGCTTAAGTAGTACATAAATTTCTCCATTGAGTTCTTTCTAATTTAGCAGTTTTCAACTTTTTAGCACTCATTATCCTTAATTTTTCACAAAAGGGATGCCACTATGTGATGTAAGGAAATCAGTTAAGGAAACAAATGAGGCTTTGTTAACTATTTGACAGTTTTCAACTTTTCAGCACTCATCATCCTTAATTTCCCACACACAAGGGATGCCAGGAAATCACTTCAGGATATGCTGATAAACTTTATATCATAAATACACAAAACACCTTTATTCCTCTACAGAAACATCACACTATCAGGAATAAAGGGGTCTGGGTAACCTCACCCAAGCCAATCTGCCTTTGTTTACAACAGCTGCAGTGCTGCTAGATAGCATGCATTAACTCTACAGTAAGAGTAAAAGGTTGTAATGTTTTAATGCATTGATAATAACCATAAAATTGGATGATACACACAAAACTTGATCACCCATAAAGTGGACTTTTATGTAGCCAAAAACCAGATACTATTTATGGCATCTGCTCCATTAATTACTGCACAACTTATTTTGTTCCTAAATTCAAACTAAAGGAATACAACTACATTAAAAATTGAACTTGCAACTGAATTTGATAAATATTTGAAAATTATCTATTTTATTATAAGACTTTTATTCTGAAAATTAAAGGCAGCATTCTATTACTGTTTGTATGTTAATTGTGGAGTCACTTGAAAACAGTAGCTGAAATGGTGTTTAAGTGATTTTTGAAGTCCTTATAAATGTAAATACATGAACAATAATAGTTCCAGAGATAATATTTTTCATAAGACATGGTGATCTTTTACCATTTTGGGGGGCTTTAGCCAAAAAGCCCCCCCATAGATGCGCCTGTGCTTGAGAATATGGTATTTTTGATTCTTGCCTGAAGAAATGATGTGAACCCTCATTATACATCCACAAAGACGTATGCAGCTTTCATAATACAGGGAGTGGCAAGATGGAATATTTTTTTTTTTGTTCCTAAGTTTATTATTATTACAATTTATAATTATTTTCATTTGAAATACAATATATACACAGAACAATTTTTTTAAATTAATTTTTGGAGGAAGGGCAACGCCCAGCTCTCCTCTGCGAAACACTCATGTACTTATCCACAACGAGTTTCAGGTCCTTACTGCAACTATTCTTCCCACAAATCATGATAAAATTCTATATTATTTACTGTTACAACAAGGATGCCATTAATTTGAACATTAACAAAAATGAAAAAATTAAGAAAGGGAAAAAACAAAAATGATTTAGCCTGCAATTTTATTTATTCTTAATTACATATTCACATTGATAATTACAAGAAATGCAACACTAAAAAAAATATGTCATTTTAAAAACGATTTAGAAATATATTTTCAACTGAAATAATCATATTTAAATTCTAATAATTCATCTTTTTGTTTTAAAAATTGGACATTCATTTCGATTATTTAAAAAAAATACTGATTACAAATTGCCTTACATATATTACTCAGTAAATTTTATTCGGTTTGTTTGACGTTAGTTATATTTAATAAAATATTAATCATGTATCAAATGTCAGCTCAAGACTATCCTAAACAGATAGATCCATGTATGTCTAAAGTACAAATACGCACACAGCTTAGATGAATAAACAAATGAATGAATATATTTAAAGTAACGTGGGATCATCTGAGAAAATATTTATCAATAATTTATAACTACTTCATAAATAAGTGACACTCTACTAAAACTTGACTATTCTTTCTCATTCGAGAGGTACTAAAAAAGGAACCCTGATTATCTGACAACCATGATGCAACTACACATTAAAGTCTTAAAACAACTAACTCAACCTAACCATGGTACTGATACTACCATAAAGCCATTCCCTGATTATTACACACGTTAATTTAAAAAAAAAAACATTAAGGTAATTTAAAGTAATCAACTTTTCAAAGTATTTCTTTGTAGTTATTGAAAAATAGCAATTATTCAGCATAATCTGGAGTGTATAAATAGGCCAGCCATACTTCATTCCTTAAAAGCTTATAAGTCAACTTCCTTTCAAATAAGTAACATATGGCAGAACCTACTTACATCAATTTTTAACTATCAGTTCACCAAAACAAACACAATACAAAATTTCTGCCTACCGAAAGTCATATACATATATCAAACCTTTAATAAGTTTCTAATCTAAAAATTAATTACATAAGAATATGGATTTTTTTTATGTTGATATCAAGATTTAGTAGAGTAAAATTTATATATATATATAGAATATTGACTTTGTTCTTTACAAACCTCTTTTGCAATTATATTTCTATTCTTTCAAAGATAATGATTTAAATATATATTAAGATTCAATAAAAAAGATCCACTATAAAGTTTTGGAAAAAAAAAGTACACAAAATTTTTCAAGTACATACAAGACAAAATTTTAATATACAATATTGTTATTAAAAATGAGAACAGCTTTTGATATATGTAAAAAGTAGACAACGATTTGAGTAAACAAATTATGAAAGGAGTGCTAAAATAGTGAGATCTTTTTAAATACTCTGGAATAAAAAATAATCAAACTATCCTTTGAATATAACCTCCTAAAGAAGCATAACAGAAATGTGTTAAGAGGTGAATCAGTCATATAGGAGGTAAGCATATAAAATGATTTTATAAGATACTTATAGTAACAGTACAGTACTCCCTCTGTTATCGGTCCCGGCAACAGTCCTTAATTTTCAGAAAATGGTAGGCAAGATTGAGGTGTAACATTTTTTTTTGTCATTAAGAATTTCTAATTATACAACTGATTAGTTTTAATAATAATCTAACACTTGACTCAATCTGAAGCTACCACATCTGCATCAGATTAGTGAGAGTGTACTGTATCATTTAACTATAATAGTCCTAGCAGTAGTGCCTTTTAACTATAAATAAATCTATCGACTACACTTAATACCAACTAATCGGAAAGGAAGGCCCATGAAATGAAAGGAAGGCTATCTCTTCTAAATAATTACTTCAATCAACTTAAAACTAAATGTGGCCATCTAATCATGTTCTTAATTCATAAGTTGAAATAATATGAATAAGTAATACCACCACATATACAGTCCAATAGATTTTTAAAAATAAATTAATCTATATTGCTATACTGTGCTTTATAACAACAATAAACAAAATGGATAGATTCATTTAGTTTTAATAACTAATAACATCTTATTTGCATATACTAATAAAACATGTCACATAAAACTAAAGCCTGTTTTATTATCAAAAGCCAGATATTTATGTAAAACATACATAGATGTTTACTTTTTTTTTTTTTTTAAATCAACGTAATAGGTATTTTTAGAAGATAAGTATTTGATAAAAACTGTATTTTTTTTAAATAAGAAAATGTTTTTTATCTGAGTATGGCTTCATTTACAAAGACAAAAAAATAAAAGCTAGTCAACAAATTTAAAGCACATAAGAAATTTCTCACAGATTGTATTCAGTGGTATGCCACATCAATTGATGTTAAAAGATCTCAAATACTTTTAGAGAGAAAAAAAAGCTAAAACTTAGTAATTTGAACAAACAAAATATGAAAATTAGTATATTAAATGTGTTTAGGTATTAATTTTATTGCATAACTATTCAAAAAAATTCCAAATCTGTTCCTATTGATTAATTTTCAAAAATTATTAACATGCATAATTTTATTTTTTATTGTTTTTTAAAAATTAAGAAAAGTCTTCATTTCTCATTTAAGTTTTGTTTTTAATTTAAGTTTTTAAATTAATTAAGTTTTTTTGAGTTTGGAATAGTAAAAAAAAAAAAAAAAAAAGAAACTTAATTATTTTTAATTTCCATTACGGATTACACTGGTTTTATCTTATTTTCTTCCATACTTTTGAAAACTCATTATTTATAACAATTGGAGAAAAGATTTATGTTTAAATTTAATTAATGCTTTCTTAACTAATATTAAACAAAAACTAACTGGACATATGGGCTACATCATTTCAAAATTTAGATTTTCGATTGTAAATTTATGATATAATTCATAAATATTCAGGCTCTGCTAATAAAACATGCTAACATACCCACAAAAAAATTAATCTTAAAATATTACCATATTAATGTTCGATTTGATTGGACAAGCTCATTTTTGGATTATTGAGATACGAGAGACAATTTTATAACATATCAGATATATAACAGCATAGAAATAAATTATAGACAGTTAATCCACGTCCCAAGGCACAGATACACAGGGTATATTGGATATAGTTTTCAAAATCACTATTCTAATTTAATATAGAGCTACACTTTTATAATAAAATTTTCCGAATATTCAATGTCAATGGGGCAAATAATTAAATTGCTAATTCCCTATAATTTAATATAGACTATACCTCGAATCATATTTTTACTATAAACTAAGATTAGGTCTCGGTTGTTTCCCCTTTGTCAATTGCAACTCGTTTTAAGCAATAGTCCTCGGCATCATCATTAAATAAAATATATATGATTAATATAAATAAGGTACAATAGATTATTAATATATATATAACATTCTTAACTATAGTCGCATTTTAAATGCTTCTTATAAAGTATATTTGGTGTATCCATAGAAACAGCCCAACAAATTTTGTAACCTTAAATAGTAAAGGTTTTTTGAATAAATTTTAGAATATGATAAAAAAATTACTTTTAGAACGACTTATTAAGGAATGTACTGATCAAATACAGTGGCACATTGAAGATACAATCTCTCATAAAATAGTTGTCTCCTATTATAATTAATTAATCCTACAGATATCTTTTAAGTCTGCATTTGTGCATTATACATATTGAAATGTTATGGCTTAATTTGAGACTGGCTTTTGGTGCTTTTAAAATACAATGGAAGTACAATAATTGAAGTCAGTTAAATATTTAAAAAATTAAATTAATGAAAATAAAAATTAATTAAATCAACATTTTTTTCTTCAGGTTATACTAGTAAATTTAAACTAATAATCATATATAAATACTTAGTACATAATAAGATGAGTATACAAATTATTCAATAGATAAATCTGTATTTATACATAAATAAAATAAATACATTTTAAACAATGGAAATATTTATGTGAATAGTAGTTGACTTCAATTGATTCTACCTTAACAATTGAGGTGAGTCTGGTTTATAAAATGATAATACAAATGACCTAAGTAGACTAAGAGGGAAAAAAAAAGTTGATTCATTCTTGAAATTTAGTTGAGTCTAACCATAGGAGCGGAAAACATCGTAAAAAATTTGCATCAGCCAACTTCTAAACCCTATCAATTAATTATAATTATCAATCAGCCATTAACTGGATGTTTTGGAGAAGAATAAAGATGCACCTAATTTTACTGGAATCCCTAGGAAAATAAAGGGTTGCTTTTATAGAAGAATATGAAAATATAACTAAGAATTTTATTCATAACCCTTTCAGGCTAATGGAACACACACACACACAGACATGAACTTACACACACCCATAGCAACATTAAATCTAAGCTATAATAAACGCAAGAGGATGAAATATCTTCTGCTATAATTCAGATTCATATATAAAAATAGAAATGTTTAATCCATATGAATAACATATGATCACTAATTAACCATGAATCGTAGGACAAAAAATAAATATCATTTTTTTCCCCCTCTCAGTGTACAAACCATAGATATAAATAGTAATAAATAGTCTGTTGTTTATAATTGACCTTAAAGGGTTAAGTTAATGTCACTTTGAAACTTAGTAATTTATTGCAGGTCCCGAATCTTTATGAAAACCTAACTAATGAGATTTTTTATCTTTCCTATATAAGCACATAACATGAGCATTATATAATAACAAGCTCATAAAAATTTAATAAAAAACAAATTAACAAATATTTCATTTTGTGTTGTCAAATGACAAATAGATTATAGAATTAAGATCATAAAAATACCTTACAAAAAAAAAAAAAAAAAAAAAAAATATATATATATATATATATAAAATTAAATAATTAAAAAAAGACAGCTTTCTAAATAATATAAGCAAATACAATTTTTAAAACAGAATCGTAGCTCATTAAGAAAATAATACCAGCATTTCTTAAAGTTGTGAAAATCGTGTACATAATAATAAATAATCAAGTAAAAAGAAAAGAAAAATAAAATAAAAATTCATCAAATGTTAAAATCTAACAAATAACAAGTACAGGTCAAATCCATCTTTGTAAATAAAAAATTAATAACATTAATATGAACAAAATTAAAAATAACAATTCTTTTGCATTGTTTCATTCCGCAGATTAAAATTTTTAAGTACGACTAAGTGAGCACACTAAATCACCACAGACCTGTTCTAACTTAAAGCTGACTTTAGTACTTCGCCTGGAGACATGACTACACAACCATTTGGTATATTCATCCTCTTAAATTAAAAGAATAATAGCTAGCTAGAATATCAAATAATAGCTGACTTGGATACCTTGGCTTAAGAGAGAAATAAAGAGAGAAATAGAAAATAAATATATAAAAAAAAAAAAAACAAGCAAAATGGAACAAGTTAAAACTTATCTACTAATTAATATAGGTTACTTCGCTTATCTCTCTTGACAGCCCTATACCTATTTACATGCCTAGACTTGTGCACCAGCTAAAGAAGACTTATCTTTAAACGGCAGCTTTCCTCCATTAGTTTTCTTCCAACTAGTGAAATTTGACTTAAGAAATATGAATCAGTGTTTTCATTTGACTCTTATGAAAATATAACTATCACTGTTTTTTTAGTTTTATAGGTTCCTTAATCATACAATAATTAGCTTAATATTAGAAATCTTAATAAATAGGACGACCAACACAGCGATAAAACCTCTTCAAAAGAAGATAAACAATTCAAGAGACCATTGAATAATAGCTGGCTGGTTCCTAGAATCCCACATGGCAGGAAGTTTTCTCGCAACTTAGGTTATGCGAAGTACATAACTTTCTTTGTATCTGCATGAACGGTAATAGCTCGTGCCATTGCGCCAGGTGTCCGGTCTTCACTGCAGCCTGACTGGTGAGAACCCTCACCGCTAAAAATAAATAAAATAATATTTTAAAAAATCATTAATTAGTTTTAATAGAGATTGCCTTAATTAGCACTATAACAGTTTCTTAATAAATAGTTTTAAGAATATAATTAGAAAAAAAAATTATTGAATATTATAAAATAACTACGAATACACTGTAATACATTTGAGATGTCATATGTATATCGACAGCCACAATGAAAACGCCTCTAAAAATAAAAAATAAAAATTTTCAGAAGACAAAAAAATGCATATTTAGATGAAATGTTTTATGTAAATTTTTTTATTGTATTTTTGCAAATAATCTTTTAGAGTCACTTTCATAACTTAAAGAATTTACTTCTTATAGATTTTTACTAAATTCGAAAAATAAATATTAATTAGGTAAAAGCAATAAAATGTATTATAGTAACACCCATAACTTTGTTATTAATATTCAAATCATGACATGAACAATGCCAGTTTACAAAATATAGAGAAACGATACTTCAAATGAAAATTCGTAAAACATTTGACCAGAAAGCGAGTATACCATCACACAGATTTCCATTTTTTTATCCTCTGCTGTAGGGGAGGCTCAGATGGTATACATATGCCCCATTTTGCAGTTGCCAAGAGGTTTTCATTGGTTTGAAGAATGTGCAACATTATAATCCCACTTACCATCCTCTTCTTTGTTTTACCTAGTTCCATAGCATTTGCCCAGAGGAGCTGAGCTGGGAACATAGGCTAAGACTTTCCAAGACTGGTTGGAAAAGACTGGCAACTGGTTGGGCAAGTTTGTCCAAGACTGGTTGGCGAGGGGAAGGGTTTTTTTTTTTTCCCTTTTTCTATGCATTGGTGTATTTGAAAAAATGTTAGCAAAGCATTTTGATATAGTACATATTATAAGGTTTAAGACAGTGAGACAAAACTCTCAATTCTCCGATGCTTCAAATTTGCTGTAGGAAATGTGATAAAATCTTCACGTAGAAATGGAAGGGAACTACTACAGGAATGGTGCAGAACAGTCATTTGTCCTAACCATAAAAAAGGAACAACCTGGAGTGTAGTAACTTTCATGGAATCTTACATGTATCCGAACTAGAATTCTGTTCAAACTACTTCCTTTAGCACAGCATATAATTGGACATGAGGAGCTTACGACAGTGTGATACGCGAGAAGAACTGTATGAGGGCATGGTAGAGCTGGGTATACCAACAAAGATAGTTCACCTTGTGAGAATGACTATGAAAACAGTGAAATGTATGGTAAAGATACAAGGAGAAATGTCTGAGTGTTTCATGACGCACAACAGTCTCAGACAAAGTGACTGCCTAGCTTGCCTCCTGTTCAATTGCTCTAGCTTGCCCTGGAGATTGCAGAGAGAAGATCTCATATACAAGTGAAAGGAACTATTTTAAACAGATCAACACATGGCTTAGCTGATGACCTAGATATTATAGGTAGGTCATTAGCAGCCATGAAGAATACCTTCCTTGACCTTGAAAAAGCTGCAACAAGGCTTGGTCTCACTATAAACCTAACCAAGACAAAGTATATGACGGCAGGTATGGGAGGTGAAAGAAGGGCAGATACAAGCATTCAGATAGGAGAGTTTACCTTCCAATGAGTAGAAGAATTTGTGTACCTGGATACTTTGGTAAACTTTAACGATGACATGCAACCTGAAATTGACCGAAGAATAATGGTTTCCATTAGGTGTTATATCGGACTTCAGATACACATAAAAAGCAAATCCTTAATAACACCGAATCCTTAGCAAATTATTTGGCCCAGTTTCTTCGAATCAAGAGTGGAGGCAGAAAACCAATGCAGAGCTGAAGGAACTTTTCCAGGAGAGTAACATGGTAAAATTTATTAAGATTGGTCGACTTCGCTGGGCAGGCCATGTGGCTAGGATGCCTGATAGCCAAATTCCAAAGAAGCTCCTCACTGAACAGCTATTCGGAAGAAGACCTATTGGAAGAAACAAATTGCGTTGGACTGATGATGTAGCGGCTGAAGCGAGATCCATCCTTAATAAATGAGATTGGAAATGGACTGCTTTGAACAAAAATGACCAGCGAATGATGATACAGGAGGCCTTAACCCAACATGAATTATAGCAGCAAAGAAGAAGAAAATGAAGCCCGAATGATATTAAAGTAGATTGTAATTTTAGTACTTCTCAGTGCTTTCTGAAAATGGCTTATGAATTACACTTGAATCTCCTGTAATAATTATATGGTTAAATAGAAGGCAATCCATTATTCATTTTTGATACTGTAGTCTATAATAGAATAGCGCTTACCTGTCATGCTCTTTCTCAACAAGATGGTACCTAGCTCTAAATGCCACAAGATGGGCATAATAGGCAGGAGCAGGTATAGATACTGAACGTGTACACCTCACATATGTATGGCACAACTGATAAGTTAAGCATTGCAGTTCATCAGAATCAAAATGGTTGTCATCCCATAAAACATGATAATGACTTGGCCGGCTGGTGCCCTGCAAAAATTATTACAAATAATGGAATCAAATATTGACATTAATTTAGTAAACAAAAATATAAATAAATAGAGACTAATTGGGCTATGTGAATAATTTATTTATTTACTAATTTAGTGTATAATAATTCATATGTATTTCTCGTCTAATCTATTAAATAGAAGAAATTAGTTGGGGATGTGGTAAAAAAATGCTATATTATATAATTATTATTATTATTAATTTGCTCTACAGTCCTTAATGGACCTGGGCGTCAGAAACAAGCTTCCGCCAGGCTTCCCTATTCTTCTCCATCTTCTGATACCCATGCGGCTAAGGTCCTCCTCCACGTCGTTGATCCACCGCAGCCGGGGTCTTCCCCTAAGACGTGCTCCTCCTGGGCGGTTATAGAGAAGTTTCCTAGGCAACCTATTCTCCTCCATTCTCTCTAAATGGCCTAGCCATTCGAGGCGGCTCCTTTTGACAATGGCTACAATATCATCATTTTTAAACAGCTCATAGAGCTCTTCATTTTTCCGTATTCACCACTGGTCATTTATTTTCTTCGGACCATATGTTTTCCTAAAGACTTTTCTCTCCCTTATTATCAGCAACCTCTCACTTCCCTGGGTCAGAACCCACGTTTCACACCCGTAACACACAACTGGCCTTACAATGGTTTTATAAATTGTTATTTTTCTATTCCAGCTCAGTTCCTTGGATTTCAGTATTTTTGCCAGGGCAAAAAAAAAAACACTTATTGCCAGCTGTAATTCTGGCCTTTATTTCGGCCTGCATTTTGTTCTGGTCAGTGACTATTACTCCGAGGTATTCGAATTCTGTTCCCATTGGAAAGAGGTGCTGATTAATTTGAACATATTCATGCATAGCTACATTATTCCTTGGGGACTTCATGTAAAGACTTTTCTCTTCGTTTATCCTTAGGCCAAGTTGCATTGCTGTCGCATCGAATTCTTTGATAGATTCCGCAAGGGCCGACAATGTGCGAGTGCTGATAAGAATATCGTCCGTGTATGCAAGACATTGAGTAAGTCAATAGAATATAATCCCTCCAGGATTGGTCCTTATTGCTCTAACAACCCACTCCAGGGCTAGATTAAAGAGGACTGGTGGTATAGGGTCTCCCTGCTTCAAGCCCTGTTTTACCTAAATGATGTTTGAGAGGACGTTTTGAATCTTGACCTTACATTTGGTATCTCTTAGCGTCATCTCTGTCAAGGCAATCAACTTTTCAGGAATTCCCAGCATCCTCATAGCTTTCTGTAATTCCTTTCTGTCTATAGAATCATACACCAGCTTAAAATCTATAAAGACATGGTTCAGATCCACGTTATGCTCGTATGTTTTCTCTAGCATTTGTCTTACAGCGAAAATGTGATCCACTGTTGACCTATTTTTTCTGAAACCACATTGATAGTCTCCACAAATTCTTTTCAATTTTAAAAAATCGACATTTAAGCCATTTGTTGGAGATCATCAATGAGGATAAAATCAATCTTATATTAAAAAACATGAACATCTTTACTTTAGTATTTACTTATTCTTTGGATTCAAAATCTGCCTACCTGAATACCTTGATGGCTACAAAGATAGAAGTCGAATTCAGTTGGATGGGTAATTCCCACATCTACTGTGGTACCAGCTGGTATATTTCCAGACTTACCACTTTGTTCTTTCTTGTCAGCACAGAATAATCTGAAACAAGAAAAAATATTGTAAAATAGTCTGAAACCTATATCTAAGAAATAAAAGAAACAAGAGCAAATACAGCTCAAAACAGATAAGTAGGAAATTTAATTTATTTCATGAACTGAACAAGGGTATGGAAGGGTTCACACTAACATTCAAAAGTATACAATTTGTTTGTTTTTTTAAAAAACTTTATAACAATGTTTTACAAGGATTAGATGAAAATTACATTTTATTATATACTGGAAGGGGCATGCATGCTGCCCCACCTTATCTCCATTGGCTAAGCTTTGAACAAAAATATAAAAATATATGTGTATGTATGGATGTACCTTGTATGATGTCTCTTTTGGACTACAATAAAAGTTATTCCAGGTTTATAATCTCCTTCTAACTTAATGCAAGCTTCTCTTATAGCTGTCAACTCATGTTGCAAAACCTGTGGAATAAACAACATAGTATATTGCCTAGATAAATTTATAAATTAATGAAATAAAATAGTTGTCTTGAAGATTTAAGATAATCTTTTAAACAACCATTTTTAACATTTATTATTAAAACATTAATAATTAATCCTGATGGCAAAAAAAGTACCCATAATGTTTTTAATGCAGCGAGTAGTTTTCAATATAATAAGTAGTGAGTGAAAGAAAATGAACATTTTTAGAATTTGCTTCGATAAAATGAACTTATGGTGGTGCCCAACTGAAATAGTTTAATAGTGTAGTGCATACTACCTTTAAAGTATATTTAATGAACCTGTATCTAAATAAAAATTAAATTATTTTCTTATAGAAAATGAGCAGTGTTGAAAAATACAATGCACTCCAAAAAACTTTAATTTTCATAGGTAAATGAAAAAAAAAATTAAATTTCTTACAAAGGACATACACTACACCACTTCTTCCCCTCTCCCATAGTAATAAAACTGTTCCTTTCAGACTCAAAATTTCATTTGATCTCTATGAACATAAACTGCTGAAATGCAAAACATGTTCTTAAGAAACTAAGATCAGCTATTACCTAACTTTTTGTACTGTAACAGACAATTTTCAAATCATCACAGTCAGGAATTTCATTTAGCCCTGGAGCCAGGGCCCAAAAATCGACCTGATCGCAGGCGAAGGTTTGATTGTAAATTACGAAAGTGTATGTTATTCTGAGTAGAAAGAACCTTGTCTGCCGTTTCGGAGCCTCTGCTTTCAAAAATGGTGGCTGATTTAAAGAATATTATGGCAATAATTTGAGGATCAAAACGAGAAATCCATTGCGAAAAATGTGAGAAAAGTTTTTATTTTTTTAACTTGTATATATGGGTTTAAACATGTAAAAAACAAAATTGCTAACGCAGGCCACCAAGGGAAAACTTTTTACAGCCCAAAAAGTCAGATTTTTTAAATATTTTTTGGGCTTTTCATCTATAACTCCTAAACGATGCATTAAAGTGAAAAGGGTATTCTTTAATAAATTAAAGAACGTTAAATTTTGCGTCAAACGAAAACATAAACTTTAAAATTTGGTTATGCGGTAAGATATAAAACCACGGTCAACCAACGCTGAGTTTTACCAAATTTGCCAAAAACTGAGAAAAATTACTATAAATGGCCCTGTAACTTGGATATGAGTTCACTAAGAGGAAAAACTCATAGAATCAAAGTTGTAGAGCATCAAATTTCGCATATAATCAGTATCAACTAATTGAATGTAGGTCACTTGCTGCGAACAAAATGGGTGATCTCCCAATGGTTAGAAATTGGTAATGAAAGTAAACGTGATTTTCAATATCTCAACACGATGGGTGTCTATTCTACTGAGTTAGTTTTGTTTAAAGTCTGTTACATGCAGTATGAGCCTATTTTCCACCTCTCAACAGCAAAATATTTTGGTAAACGATGTGCCGAAAGCGAAAGATACCAAATTTTATAAAGGAACAACGAATCCCTATTCGAGATATATAAGTAGCCAAAAATAAAAATGTCAGTACTCAGTATACGCAAAATTTGATGCTCTACAACTTTGATTCCATGGGTTTTTCCTCTTAGGGAACTCATTTCCAAGTTACAGGGCCATTTATAATAATTTGTCTCAGTTTTTGAAAATTTCATAAAACTCAACGTTGGTTGACTGTGGTTTTATACCTTACCGCGTAACCAAATTTCAAAGTTTATGTACTCGTTTGACGCAAAATTTAACGTTCTTTAACTTATTAACGAGTATATTTTTCGCTTTGATGCATTGTTTAGGAGTCATAGGTGAAAATTCTATTAGTCAATGCACACCCAATGCATGTATGACAATCTAGATCACAGAATCCAAAAAAAAAAAAAAAAACTCAGTTTCCAAAATTTGTTTGGAAATATTTTATTAAAAAAATAGGCTTAGCCAGTTAAATTTTATTAACTAATACAAAATTTATAGAATATTGTATTCCATACTTATCTAAAACAAACAAGTATACTAAACTTAGCTGTAACAATGTATAATAAAATACCTTTATACAATAAGAGAAAAAACAGTAAAATTAAATAAACAAACTTACATGTAAAAATTGACCTTCTGAAACACCATCTCGATACAGAATAATTCTATGAGGCTTGTAGCCACCGGTACTTTTGTAAAACATTATCAAAAGTTCTCTGTGGAAAAATAAAAATATATAATATACCTTTATAATACTAGCATAAATTTATTTAAAGAATGAATGCCATTAAAAAAAAGAAATAAAAAAAAAGTAAATAAACAGAAATATTCCTATGCACAAGTTTACTCTGAAATTTACTATACCATACCTGACCATGGAGGATAATTCCTGAATTATTTCTTGACGATGTTGCTGAACTCTAACAGTAGCAGCATATCGACTAGGATGAGCATCCATGGAACCTACAACAGCTGCTATTGAAGGCTTTTTGTTATCTCCAGCAGGTGGGTGAGTAACATCAGCTCCGAGAAATATTACAGGTTCGTTGAAAACCTAAAATGAATATCATCATAGAGTATAAGCTAAGAAGTAACAGCTTAGAAATAACTTGTAGGAGCTACACAAATCACTTAAATAAGTGATAGTTGTCCTTAAGATGATGAGACTTCTTACCTTCGGCCTGATGCTGGGAACAAGAATGCTGTTAATGCCTCCAAGCTTAACATTGATTTTAAGGCAAAGATTGGAGAGTGTTTGTGGGGAAGTTTTATTTACATTTTTTGCCTGAACACATTGGGTCGCCATACCTAAAACTGTATCTCCAACCCTCTTCACTTCAGCTGTAATCAAAAATTTAATATTAATCTAATTATCAAAACTAAATAATACACTTTCAGAAGTAGGATACAAATACAATTTAAAAAAGAAAAAAAAAAAGTCTTTAATATATATATATTTCAATATTGTTGGTTAAGACTTCACTTAATTTGTAATAATAAAAACATGTTAGATCCAATTAGTCCTATATAATTTTTACTTTACACCTTAAATTTCAGCCCTTTTCAAGGGAAGAAATTTTCGTGACTTCTTTTCATTAAATCAAGTTACCACAAGAAAACAGATTGAACTTTGAAATGCTATATCTCAGATATAGAAAATTTTATTATTAGCTGTTTAGTTAATCATGAATGTGAATTAACAGCTAAAAACCACAACCCCCTTGTTCAAAAGAAAGATGGTGGTCTAGATGTTGGAAATACTAACAATGATGTAAACAATGCAAGATTTCTTTAAAAATATTTTGTTTCCAGGGTATTTGAAAATGAATAACTCAGATGATATCTTAAATAATATTTTTTAATCCATTAACATTCTTTTTATACTTAAGTAATTGACTAATTAAAATAGGTTAAAAAAGAAAATTAATTTTTCCATTTTTTTGTTAAGTTTGAATATGACGATAGCCATAAGATTTTACAGAGAAATTAACACATCTAAATAATTATATTAAAAAAACAAAAAACAATTACCATAAACTGGAGTTTTTCCCGGAAGCACCACCACAACAAGCTGTAATGCTTGGAAGGAAGACTTCAGGTAACGAAACATAGGCTCTACCTGATCTGGACCAGTGGCGTATTTACCTGAAACATGTTCCTCGGTAAAAAAAAATTATAAAAATCAATTAAATTTTTTACTTGAGAGCAATAGATGTCAATAGTATTTGTTCTTGTTGTTATTTCTAAATAATTTATTTATGTTTTATCGAAGAGCTCTGTTAGCATGTTATAGTTAGGTATAAATTAAAAATGATTCTTATTTTATTATTTATTTTAGTTAATTCTTGTTTAAAAAAATAGGAGAAAATAAGCTAAGCCTAGTTCATAGTTGAAAGCCTCTGATAAATTGTGCTAAAACAAGATATATTTTCTAAAATGAACTGATGAAACATTACAAAGGATGATTAGTTGAAAAATAGTTTCATAATATGTTTTATTAATATCGCACCACATTTTCAAATATTAAATAAACTAGAGGGGACACCATCTGCCTGCCTAACGGGATAATTTTACAAATTATATAACTGTTCATTTAATTTCATATGTGTTGGTTGAGCTCCTGTAACCTCCTACTTCCCTAATACAAAATAAAGATTTTCATCCTGGTATCTTCATTACTTATGGAATATCTAACCATGGAATATCCAATGGAATATCCAAAATGGAATATCCAACCTTTCCATTTACTGGTATCTTCATTAGTTTCATTGGCCGTGGAGCGACCTTGGGTTAGGAGTCCCTCCTGGGGCACACCCAGCCTCTATAAAGTGGGTACCCTTAATTAACTAATTAATTAAGGGGGAAAACCTGGCGGTTGAGCGTGATCTCGGTCAAATCACCTCCTTGCACAACCGTTGACCTAGAAACAGTGCTTTCCCTAAATAGTACTGAACCCCAGACCCTTCATGGGTTGTAGTGGTACAGGTTTTTTTTTTATCTTCATTACAGTCCTTTCAAGATTGGATATGTAAAATAAGATATGAGAGTCGCTAAAAACTCTTTTATATAATAAAGAGATGCAAGTTTGAAAAAGAATTTAAGTATAAGTTGCCAAATTACGAGAGATCCTTGTGGGAGGAGCTTAGACGTAGAAGTCATATTATAATGGTTGGGGAGTAGTCTTCTCTCTGCTTTACAGATATCTGCCTCTCTCCCCAAAAATTTAATTGATTTCTTATGCTGTTATATATTCAGTAATATTTGAATCTTATTTCATTCAATATGTCACAAAGGTTAACATTAATTATTTTCAAATGCTTTGTAAATTTTATTTTAATTCTTAATAAGTGGAGGATGCCCCCAAGCAATTGCCAGATCCGGAGGCCGGCACTGAGTGCACTAAAAGTGTCTTCGTTAACTTGGATAGCTAGATCACTATTGCTTTACTCTTCCATAAAAATACAGATAAAAACTTATGTTAAACCATTAATTAAAAATGTTTATAAATTAAATTATCTTACTTTTATAAACCTTAATTTTTCAAATTAAAAAACTGAAAAGAAAGAAAAGTTGTAAAATAAATTTAATATAATAAATAGATAGTAACAGTAAAAACAAAAAAAAATTTTAAGAGCTTTCTATAAATCAAACGATGGATTTTTCTGTAGGTCAAGTTGCTTTTAACATCATATAGCAACCTTTCCATTTCCAAACATAAAAATTTGACAGTAGGACCTCGAGACATTCCCATGTCTCCACCACTATGCCAAGTTAGGGTGGCTATTATCTTCCTTCCGTAGACAATATTTCCTTACACATTCCTTTATCAGATTACTAACAGCCCCTCTTATGTCTATAATATCCAATTTAAGTCCTCTGTCCACTAACTTATCACAAGATTTCAATTTTGTTAGTTGGGTGCATTAAATCCTCTAATCTATTGGTTTTCCTTGCGGCAGCAGCTCGTAAAACAGCATGCCACAATATGGAGAGCAAAATATTTTTTCAGATGTAGGCTGGCCTTCGGGGTAGCATTAGGCGGCTTGTCAGCAGTTGTCTACGATCTCCTGTGCACTACATTGTTGTGGATGATCCACTTTACCCATCACTGTTCGTTTGAGAAATGGGCCAGTTCCAGCCAGTTCAGAAGAGAGTTGCAGATTGATATTCGGCCAAGCTGTTTTAAATGCCTTTGAACGATTCCAAAATCTACTTTCAGTGTCTCCACGATTTCTTGTACCTGCAGAGACCGGTCTTGATATCACTTGAAACAATATTGATGGGCCAACCACAGCAGAGTGCATCTCCGAGACTCATATATCGAGAACGAAACTTGGTAAACCATATTTTAGCAGTATGTTCTGTTAAGGCATCGTCCATGTATATCTTATATATTTCGGTGGGCCTCTGAAGTTCGCTTGCCTATTTGAAATAAAAAAGCAAAATATGCCGAAAACGTACTTTATCATTTGACATATTGACTATGATGTAGCACAAACAAAACTAATGCCAATGAAATCAAACACAACAGTTTCGAAGCGCAGGCTTTTATCTTTCCGATAAATATCATTATTATCAGATAAGGCAAAGAGAACTACAGATATTTGAAACCAATTCGTACTACTAACAAAAATCGAACAAACTTTTGGATCCACTTATATGTCAATTTGGTTAATGTAAAGTTAATAAAACAATAATAAATTAACTTTATTATTTTAACCAATAAATTAAAATAAAAAAAATGTACTCACAGAAGCAAGGTTGGCCTATTATTGGCATTCCAGCATCATTACTAATTTTTTGCAATTGTTGAGTGAAGTTTCTGAAACCAAAACAAGACTGTTATATATTTATATCATTTACTGCATAATATACTAAAATTGTCAAGATTGAATTCCAACAAAAAATTATACATATATATTAAAAATAAATCATAATTATTTAGCTGCTATAGCATCTATTTATATCTATGAGAGTTAAGCAAAAGCAATCCCTTTTAAGAAACCAAAAATCAATGAAATTCAGAGAAAATTTTATAGCTTAAACTATCTCAATATACTGTCATTTATAGTATTGCAGCAACAAAAAATATATAAATAGATAGAAAATAACATACAAACTTTGTTAGTATGGGAGAATTAAGTTCTTCATTAATGTGGATATTATTGAAGTATCAGGAATAATGCAGAGCATAAAGAGCTAGAACTTTACAATAAAGCAGATGCGGTATCTTTTATCCAACTTTAATTAAAATCATGTATGAAATATCCCTATGGGATAGGATTGCTTAAAGGTACTATTTTACTTTGACTGCCCATCACAGCTGGATGGCAGCAACCATCATTAATTAATAATAAATAATGAATAAGAAATAACAAAATTTACCTGAGAGCATCTTCTCTAACTGTCCTTTGAGGTGCAAAACAAGCGATCGCCCAGACCCTTATTTCAACACCAGTGAAAAATTGTTTGCCACGCATGTCCCATACTCCCTGGTTGGGAAGTGCTTGTTGTTTTGCAGACAACATGCCTTGGTATTCCTGCTGTAATGAATTAAGTGATAAAAAATTGAATTGAATTCAACTAAATAAAGAATAAGAAGCCAATTGAGTAAAATTACTCTTTTGTATTTAGAAACTCTTTCATGTAATGATGATAATTAGAAACACATTTCCTTCGTCTAGTGTTTACACTCAGACACAAGACCCTATTAATTCAGTTGTCATTTAATTCCTTATAATGTTGACTTTAGTTTACCCAGAAGGGACGGTAATTAATATTTAAAGAGTACTTATTTATCCTCACCAGATTTATAGTGAGCTATAAATAAATTTAATAATAACTGGCCTGAATTTAGTAGGACATTATTTACAACAAAAGATGGGTTTCATGTTATAGTATTTCTCACCATGCAGGATTAGATATTTATTAATTCCTTTCCTACTAGAAACAATACAACTTTAAATATTATTACACAAGTTCCCCATACGGAAAAATTGAGGTCTATAACAAATTCGAATACACACGAATCTATACTAATAAATAAAGTTGAATAGTTTTCATACATTTAATTGATTTATCTATGTTTTCATATATTGTACAGGAGTGTCTGGAGAGAGTGGCTGTTTGTTTTACCAGCGATCTCTAGTGGCTTTCATTTTAATTATGTGCTTTTGTTTTGGGCAGTCATTTAAATTAGATTCAGCTCCTTGTTCTATCTTGAATACTGAAATGTGTTTCACAGGTTAAAAATTAATTATTTTTTTAACTTGAATAAGTAGGGAAACAGACCCAAAAGACGGAGTGATTGACAGTTATCTCATTAGAGAAACAAAATGCTATTAATACATATAAACTAATATTATCAATATATTTGTGAAAAATTTAGTAACATATTTATATATATATATATATATATATATATATATATATATATATATATATATATATATATATATTTTATTCTGTTGACATTACAGACCCTGTAGATCTTTTGCCGACTTGAAAAGTCTGCTCCATCTCTATTGCATCTTTGTTGATTCTATCTATCCATTTGCTTTTTGGCCTTCCAAGTGGTCTTTTGCCTTCTATTGAGGGATTCCTTGTAATGTATAGGCTTCCAGATAGATTGCTACGAGCTGGATGCCCCATCCATCTTTACACCCTGTGCCTTCATATCATAGGCAACCATATCTTTAATATTAAGGACCCTAAATTCCTGCTAATTTTCATGTGGTTAAGTATAGCCTTGTCGAAGTTATAACAATTTTTGTGATTTCCAAGAAAAAAGTGATGGTCCAGGCAGAAATTTTGAGCATAAGATTTTTATAGATTTCGATTGATATGAAAATTAAATTTGTATTTCAAGGTGTGAAATACAAATATCAACTTTGTTCCTCCTTAAAAAATATTTGAACCCATCTTACTCCTTAGGTTAGTACTAATTGTTTCAGTAATGAACTAATACTATAGCTGCATACCAAATATATATATTTTATTTTGTTTATTTATATATATATATATATATATATATATATATATATAATTTTTTTTTCTTAGCCGGAAGGATATTGAAAGTAAGATTACATGCCCAAAATCTGGTATTTTGTAGAGGAAAAAATATTAAATTATTTTGTTGATAAAAATAATACATTTGAACTACAAAATACATGTAAATTACAGTTATACAATTTGAGTAATGAGTAGTATAATTAAATGAACAATTACATAATTTATAAAATGGAGGTTGGTCCTCCGTTAGGCAGAAAACCTCCATAATGAACATTATATATATATATATATATATATATATATATATATATATATATATATATATATATATATATATATATATGTGTGTGTGTGTGTATATATTATGGGGTCATTTTTAAAATTTAGAAATTAAAATTATTATTATTATTTAAAATTTAGCCAGACTTGCCCAAAACATAATGAAACCCACACAGAATTCCTGTCAGCAAAAATCATACTGTTAACTGGTTTTTATTTTTTTTTAAAAATATTTTAATAAGAATTCAATTAGGAAAATACAAAAAAAACAAAGAGATACCCCTGTGTACCAATTTTTTCAGGGAACAAGAAACTTCTCACATTAAACTGATTTGTACACAAACATGTTTTATTAATTTTTTTAAAATTCTAATCAAATTTTTTTTTAATTTAAAGATGCAAGAAGACACAAATTGTATAACACAACCCATATGACATATGGTAGGAAAAACTTATTCCAATCATTCCATAGCATAATTTAATAAATATTTCTAATTCTTTTTAATATTTTATATTAGTATAATGAAATCAAGCACTCACGAGCTGACTTGGGAGGTTTGGTGCCCGCCCGCCATATTGTAGCTTTGGTGGTGGCAGAACCCTACCTCTAACTTCCATCATATTGTTAGATATCGCCAGTCCAAATTCTTGGACATAGGCGTCGTTATTAAAATCTGCTCTCCTAACAAGGTTGTTAATCTCTCTTTCCCGATCAGGCGCTGACCTGGCGGTAGCTTTAATCATAGTTGATGTCTGCATATCAGTCAGCTTCTTAATGCATCTCTGCCCAGCCACAATGTTACAAACCTATAAAAAGAAATGAAAAGAACGCTATTATATTTCAATTTAAGAAAATTAGAACATTCTAGACATTGTGATCTTAATCAATCATAATTTTATTACATGCATTACATACACGATTTTAAATTCTTAAATTTTTCTGATATTTGTTAAGGCAATGGATGAAAAAGAAGACTATGGTCTGAGAACATAAGAACTGGTTTTAAAAAAGAGACTGAACTATTATTCTTCCTAATACTGTTTATGTTTTAACACCAAAAATCAATGGTTTTCTTCACTTACTTTTGCTGATTTTGTCTTCCCTGCAGATTTCACTTTTCTTTATATATATATATATATATATATATATATATATATACACACACATATATATATATATTTTTTTTTTTCATACCATTGCAACTATAATTTTCTTGGGAAGATTTTATTTTTATTTTCTAATATTTACAATGATACAATCTTTATTAAGCATGTTTTTGGCCCTATACGTATATACATTTTTATTTGTTCGTTATTGTATGTTAATCTGAGGGGACTTTGCCCCAGAATAAAGTTTACTTTTCTATACTATTCTATTGAAAATTCTTTAGCAACTGAGTGAATACAAATATATTTCTTAATTCATATAAAAATACTTTAGGGCAGATATAAATTACTAAGATAATATACAGAAATAAATACCTCTAGAGGTAGATATGTGTGCTTGTGCTCCTGACCAACTTGAAGACAAGGTAAATGAGGATACCTTAATTTCATTTTATATTTATCTAAGAAATACTTAGCAACTGTACATTCAACAGTCTGCCCATTCTCCAACTGTAATGGAAACCTAAAAGAAAAAATATGATAAAATAAAATAAAAAGTATGTGGAAAGTTCAATAAAAAAAGGAAGAAATAATTTAGGTAAAGCAATGGAACGGGTAAAGGTAAATGATTTTTCAACATTAACTATTATTTACATAGCCAAAATAGAGTAAACTTAAGACATTTTATAGGAGAGGTATTACATATTTGGGTGTAACACTTATTAGAACAAATATTTCCTAAACAGTATGTCCAAGGCCTTTAAAGTATATTATAACAGCTATTTTGAGTTAATGCATAAGTTAATTCTTAAAATCAAAACATTTTAATATAATATAACAAAGGTTAGTTGGCGATTTCCAATCCCTTTACAAAATGCTTTATTTTATATAATAATTGAAACTTATACAACATATTTTTCCAGAGTAAGAACAATTAAGCAGCAACAATAATAAGAGTTTTTTATGTATGAATGAAAGATCTAAGATAAACGTAATATCAAAATGAAGAATATAAGTTATACTTACGACTGCATTTGGGCAGGTCTTCTTGTAACATTGCAGACTCTGTACTTCCTCCTCATAGTTCCACAATGAGTAATTTCAATTTTTAATCCTTTTATTTCTTTAGTAAACTTAACCCTTTGAGAATCTGTTAAAGGTTTTCGTTGCTCATTGATATCCCTTATGTCTAACACTTCACACATAAATTCGATAACAGGCTGAGCTTTATAAAATGCAGTGGCTGACACTATAAAAATAATTCATAAATAAAGTTAATACATAATTTAAGCTTGACATATTACAAGTTGTTAGAATGTATAAAATATTTACCATCAATATTAAGCATCATCTTCCATTGAGAAGGCCTGACGGACTGATGGAATCCAAACCATACTTCACGACCACCTCCAAGAGGATGGTAGTAACCGTCGGGACTTGAAAAGAAAGACCTTCCCACTGGGGTGTATGTCATTGAGGGCAAGTGCCTCATTACAACATCCAGGGCCTAATAAATAATTAGAAGGTTAGTTATGAGCTATTCATAATTAATACAATTTTAACCCTTAGCAGAAAACATGTAAAAACGTAATCCAAAGTAGAGAAGAACACACCATTATCGCATCATACGGAATTTGCCGAGTCCTTCCTTCTAGTGCTTCTTCCAAAGCAAATAATGAAACTTGTGCCATCCATTTTATAGCTACTCTAAAAACACGGTCTTTTCCTTCCCCTGGCAATGTGACCTGTCAACAAATAAACACAACCTAAAATCATTTGTTAACATTTTTAAACGAATTCAGTAATAAATTAAAACTAGAAAACTATTTTATTACCTAGTCTATGTTACTTAAAAAAACGCTGCAAATTATTACACAATGGTTTATTATTTCCAAACAATTTAATATCAAAGTTACTTTCCATTAATTACTACTTTCCAAAATTATTTTAACATTATTTTCCATATAATATTAAGGCAAATAAAAAAAAAAGGAATTTCTAACATTGGCCTATATAATTCTAATTTTTATCATTGATAATTTACTTAAAAAATAAACAACATTGCTAAAGTTGATGTAAAACTTTCTAAAAATAAAAACAAAAGATATAAGCAGTGGGGTAGAACATATAAAACATACTGAGAACGCCATAAAGATGCTCAAAATTGTCCGATTTCAACAATTTTTATTTTGTTTTATTTTATAATTTCGTAAGATTCGTGAACTTTTAAATAACTATACAACATTAACAAAAAAAGTGAGTACTTAGTTTTACCACCCCTCGTAACTTTTTTTACAGCTTCTTTACGTTGAAGTACATTATATAGACAAATTTAAAGGTCATCGAGGAGAAAACTTAAGCCTTTAGAAACTAAGTTTCATTGAAATTGGTGCATTCGTTCAGGCGCTACAGTTTATACCAACACAGGTTTTTCAGCCGTAATCTTGGAAGAAAAAGGCGGATTGTAATGTTGAAGTAGGAGGATAATCCTCGGATGACCTCTGACTTTGATTCCAAATATGAAAAAAACTCGGTCCAGTAGTGTCAGAGAAAAGCAGTGGACGGCAGATGGACAACAAATTTTTTAGTCGATTATCGAATTCTACGTATCGTGAAACATAAAATCTTATATTTAGAGGGGAATTAAATTTTTTATTTTATTGGACAATTACTATGGTTCATAATTGAAAGTAATAAACCAAAATAAATGAAACTAAATACTTAAACCAATTTTTGATAATGCCCAAATAAGTTTTGAGATTTTCAATGGTTTAGTTCATTGAAAATATTATTCAAAGGAAAGGAGAAGAGATAATAAAAAGTAAAGAATTTACTTATGACTATAATACATATTAATTTATATTTTTAAGAAAAATATTTTAAAATTCTGAATTAGTCAGAATTAAAAGTTAAATATGCTGCAAGTTACATTGGTGGCTGTTTCTATTGAATAAGGAACTCCCTTAGGAGAATGCACAGATTCATCTAACTGTTTAAGAAACAAAACTATTTTTATATTAATATATTGACATATGCATCCTAAACCTAATTTAACAATAAAACATTAATAGTACTATAGCAAAAATACTTTTATTCAAAACCATAGATAGGGAACCAGCAACCTATGATAGTGTATGAGCTATACCTTGCCTGGTCGTATTCAACCTTTGCTTTTGAGCAGCATTTATAAATGTCATCTCTATATTAATACAGATTTAATTAAATATACTATGACAGCATTAAAATTAAAACAAGGTTTCCATTTAAAGATAAGGTTTCCTTAGATTCCACATAACAAAACTAATGGTTAATTATTGCATTACTATTTTACACAGGATGATTTGAAATTGCATGGCATTATTTTAGGTATGTGAAAATAAACAAAAAAGTTCATAATAACATATATCTCAAACTCATTTATTAAACAGATATCAAAGGTTAAAGATTTATTATTTACTAGTTGGCCCGTGCTAAAAATTCACCGAAGAAATAGCAAAACAATATGGAAATAAGTAGTTCCTATGTATTAAGTAAGAAAGGAATTAATGTTTTTTCCTTAGTTCATTACAATATTCCATTAAACATAATAGACCAAAATATTTATACAAATTGCTTTGCTAGAACCTATTTTTAAATGCTCACTGGAAATATAATAAAAGTAATAAAGACAAAATAATGCCCCAATCATAGGATATTCTAAATAAATTATTTTAAAAAAAATAAAATATAAGAGCAACCAAATGTCTTTAAGAAATAATAAAGTTAATATAAAATCCAGGAAAAAAAATGCAGTAGACTATTCCACTCCTACATGTAATATATTTAAACAGGAAGACATTATTAAGTATACCAAAACTAATTGACTGTATCTTGGTTAATAATTGTCCGATTTTTTGTTTGTTTCATAGGTAATTTAGTAATCTTTCTAATTATCATGGGTACAATCCAGAAAAAAATGCATACTTTTTGAGTTATTGGCAAATAAAGTTTCTTTTCGTCCATAACATTTTTCCAGAAATTTCGGGGGGATGGGACTATTTTTTCCATGTGGAGGAGAAGATTATCTTCAAAATGAGTGGTCAAGTATTGGATTTGATGAAGAATTGACGAAGTTATGGCATATCAACAAAAAAACACCTTTTAGAAATAATATATAGGATTATTACTATTTATTTATTATTATTACAACATTAAGAGTAACTGTTCAAAGGGGCCTCCGTTTTTTTGAATGCAACATTCAGCATGACGAAACTATGCTTCTCTGGCTCTTCGTATAGCATCAGGATGGTGCTTGATAGTTACTGCGGCTTCCATGTGCCAATTTCTTCACTCTTTTTGCGAGTCAACTGCCGCAGAATAAACCATAGACATCATCCAGCCCCACACAAAATAATCTAATGGTGTTAAATCCAGAGATTGTGGTGGCCATTTAACAGGTCCATTTCGACCTACCCATCGGTCTCCATAAGTTGCATTTAAATAATCAGTGACACTATTAGAAAAGTGAGCTGGAGCACCATCATGCATAAACCACAGCCTTTGCCTAATGCCTATTATTTTGCAAAAAATGCAAGCAAGATATATCTGACAGCTTAAGTAGCAAAAAGAAGCGGCCGATGATGTTGCCTAGAAGAACACACATTTAAAGAAAAGGTATGTTGGTAATCTCCAACAGCAGTCGCATGAGGGTTTTCTTCAGCCTAAGTATGGGTATTTCGAAAATTAAGAATCCTGTTTCTTGTAAAGCAAGATTCATCAGTAACCAAAATGCAATTCAGGAAGTTAGGATCTCATTGTCGAATTAACCATTGGGAGAAATTTCTGCGCTTGTTATAATCTTGATGTAACAAATATTGCCTACTCGATACGTGAAATGGATACAATTGTTGTTCGCGTAAAGTTCGCCATACGTTGGTAGAGGAAACATTGAAACGACTTGACAATCTTCTGGTACAAGTAATAGGAGATATCTGAACAGCATCGAGTATTTCTTCTTCAACGTTTGCAGTTCGTCAAAATCTTTGTCGACCGGCGTTTATTCTTATAGGTTTTAGCATGCCATTATCCCTAAGGCGTCTTTCGATGGCCTCTAACGTTTTACGATTTGGTATTCTTTGGTTAGGAGATTTTTCACGATCTCTTCGAACAGCAGCAGCACCGTTTCTATGTACCTCGCCATAAATTAAAAGCATGTCTGTTTGTTCTGCAAAAGAGAATAAATTTATGGTGTCTCCCATAATCATGAATTGAACTGTGTCACAGTATTCGCTCACACTAAAACACACAGAACTAGAAAAACAGATGAGCAACTACAGTCATTGCTTGTCATTCATTTGTTTATCAGATGATTAAACCCTATTATTTAGTATTAAACACATTAAACTTTGAACAGTCAGTCTTAATGTAGTAAATAAATAATAATCTTTAACCTTTGATATCTGTTTAATAAATGAGTTTGAGATATATGTTAATATAAACTTTTTTGTTTATTTTGGTATTCTTGAACACATACCTAAAATAGTGCTGTGCAATTACGGAACACACAGTATATTAATTCAGAAGTTATTATCAATAATAATAACCTGTTTATGATAAGCTAAATCAATACACTACAATCCTTAGCGACACTCCCCAATCTTTTCCTGAACAACTCACCTATCTCATTCCATACTTCCGTAAGAAACCTCAGTGATAATTTTGATCAAACCCTCTCCTGGAAACCACACATCTCCCAAATTTCCTGTCATACTATCTCTACCCTGAAACAGTTTAACCGTCTCCGCTATCTCCTTCTATATAAATCCCGACAACTCCTGGTTTCCTCCCTTGTGTTTCCCCACTTCGACTATGGCTGTCTGGTGTACAGCAGACTCGGGAGAATTCAAAGCCAAACTTAAACGCCTAATGAACTGCCCAATACGTTTTGTCTTCGGAATCTCAAGAAATACGCATATAACCCAGTATTACACCAAGTTGAAGTGGCTCTATCTATCCAACCGCAGTCTGTACTTCCTTGATACCTTTCTATACCAAGCCATCAGAACTCAGCAATCTTTCTATATTTTTCACAGCCTACAATTTAAATATTCCATTCAATCCCGTCGCACTAGATCCCATACTTCTGACCTCTATCTACCTCCTCACCGAACTGCATGCGTTTGACAAATCCTTTATAATTCAAGCCGTCTCCATCTGAAATACCATCCCTCCCGATATTCGACATGCGCAATCAGTTTCCTCATTTAAATCTCTCCTTTTTAAGCACCTACTTCTTTCCCAACCCGATTGATCATGAAAAGTAGATAAGATAACTTTTTAAATTCCTCCAGAAATGATTTTGTTTACTTATGTTATTTTATTTTTATATGTTTGTATTATCTATATCCGTATGCATTTAGTGTTTTTGTTTTGTTTTTCTTCCAATATTTTAATTTTAATGAGAATTATAAATATTTAATTTAATTTTATGGCCACATAGGCCCTCAGTATCTATAATTTGTCCTAAAGGGACAACAGCCCCAGGATAATAAAAATCTATTTTCATTTCATTTCATTACAATAAAAAAGGCTTAATTTCTAAAACATCAGTCCATTAATCACCTACAGATTATAGATTATACAATATAAGCTATAAATTATACAAACCTCAAGTTCCATCCTATCATTGCCAATTGGTAGTGGATCTCTAGTATAAAGATTACTTCTACCATCAAAGACAGGTTTCAGGTTTCCAAAAATTTTGGAATAAGCATGGACCATGGTTTCAATGATTTCCCTGTTGACCTTACGGGGACACTTATCAGGTTGTATACTGATTTCATAATGATGTACGAAACCTCGAGGCATAGTTATTTGGAAGTGATTTGCACGAAGCACTATAGGTCGACCTTCTCGGCCAAGATTAGGCCTACGTGGACAGGTGAACACTAGAACAAACCAAATTTAATCATAAATAAAGGTCACAGAAAACAAGAAGGCAACAAAATAGTATAGTTTAATTTCAAAACAGATTTAAAATGTTAATTTAAGGTTGCTAACAATAGGAACCATAAATAAGATGAATATTTTTTCAACAAAATTGGGATAACAATGTTGATATACTTTTCAAAGGCAATTTAAAAAAAAAAAAGCTTAAGTGGGATGATTAATTTTCATGGCCTAAAATCTGTTAAATATACAAAGATTCACTAATCAACATTAATGTATTTGAGCATGGATTTGCTTAGTTAGAGAGGTTATACATAGAAAATAAATCAATTCCTCCTGGTAAAATTATATTAATTCAAAAGAAAGATACTGAATGTAATAAGTTTTTTTTTTTATCTCATAAACTACAAAAATATTGCATCAGTTACATTATAAATAAATAACTTTGACGAAGTTCATTATAATTTATTATGTAAAATTAACAAATGAGAGACAGGCAAAATGGTAGTTAATAAATTACTGTACACGTCCATTTTCCAGAACATATTTATTGAATATTGGAAACTACATATCTAAATGTAAATCTTATGGCACCTAAAGAAAAACCACAAGAAACTCATAGTTGGCGTCCTAGGCAAGTATATTTACAAGTTATCTCGTAGATCAGCAGTCAACACGATAATTATTGCAAAAATAAATTAAATTAATTATAACAAGTACTTCAAATGTTTCTCTTGAAATATTTTATGTCTCATTGACCTTAAAAATAATGTTATTATTGCAAAATATTAACAAACCATACTAGGTCAATACTTGAATATACAGCATTTTTATTGATATAAGATTTTTTCTTTAGATATAATGATAAACCGAATGAATGATCATCACAACATTGATAGATTCCATATCCACATTATTATCTCAAGTAAATATTTAGTTTTACTTACTCGAAACATTATAAATCTGAAGAAGTATATTTTTACAAAGAGAAATTTCTTCTTTTAAATACTCAATTGACTCTACTAAATAATCAATTTTTAGTAACTGATTAAAAACAATTTCTACCTTTCTTTCCATTACTTTTACTATAATCAAGAACTAAAAAGAAACTAACAGCAATGCAACAATACGAAGCACGACCAACCGACACAAAGCATAATGATATTGTTTGCAAAGAGGTAGTAACAGCAATCGCTGCAACAAACATGGAAAGTTTAACTTTAACTTAAAACGATCAAAATAAAAAATAAATAGATAAAACTGTTCAATTTTTGAGAATAGAAAACCAGTTTTTATAAAAGGAAAATAAAAAATAGAAAAAAAATAATGACATAGCAAGAAATGATAGAAACCCGTGGTAATAAATAATTAAATAAACTACCGCAGCTTAACAAATGCTTTTGATGATATTGCTAGTTTATTTTAGACAATAAATATTTTGTTTAATAGAAAAACTAATAAATGAAACCATTTAGAGAAGATTCTAGAGGTTTATTTTTAAAAAACAATGCCATCAGACTTAATTTCTAACTTAAAACATCAATATCTCAAAACAATTTAAATATCAAATCATTTTATCATTGTTTAAACCAGTTTCTTTTGAAGCCAACACAGATAAATCACTTTGTATTGACTGGTTAATAACTTCTATAAGTTTCTATACATTTCTTCAAAACAAGGTTTTTTATATCCGGCTCAAAGAAAATTTTTGGCTAGAATCAATCAACTTAAGCAATAAAAATTTAACCTCATTTTCACTTTGAATTTTTAAAAAAATTCATTGAGCACTTTGAAAAAAATAGCAGTTAGTTTCAGACTAGGTTAGGAAATAGTTTTGTGACACAGCCTCAATTTCCAGATCATTAATATTTTGAAAGTTGACAGACAAACATACTAAGTTAAGTCTTTAATAAACATTAAATACTACAGATTAAACATACTAAGTTAAGTCTTTAATAAACATTAAATACTACAGATTAAACATACTAAGTTAAGTCTTTAATAAACATTAAATACTACAGATTATCGTTTTATTTAAAAAAGTCATGAAGTAATATTTTAGGAAATTAAATAATTAAGAAATTTGATAGATTTTACCAGTGTGCACTTATTTTATTTATTTGTATCATTTAATTGGCCTTGTGTTATTTAATTACACTTAATAAGTTTTTGCACGAATAAATATTATTGAAATTCATTAAGTTTAACTCCTCCGGAAAGTGACTTTTTTCAATCAACTGACTATTTGATCAATTCTTGAAAACTTAAATTTAGAACTTTAGAACAAGAAGCTGATTTTTGGATATAACGAGTTTTTTTACATATTTTCATTCATAACAGAAAAACATAAAATAGGACAATGTAAAACAAAACCTGTGTATTGAATATATTTCCATATATTAAATTAGTTAATCAAACTAATGGTGTGTTGTAAATTCTTGATCAATAACAATTTTTTTACTGCGTTGAGCTACTTTGATTATACATATCAACATACTGACATAATGACTGTACAGTTTTTTATTTTAACAAAATCATTATTATTTAGTAAAAAATTATGATTTATTTTGTTAAGAAAACATTTACTGTACGACAGAACTATTTTTCTGTAAAATTAACTTTTCTGTGCGCAATGGCAATTCGTTAGTACATGCAGCATAATCCATCCTTCCTTCCTCAGTTGGAGTACTTAGAATTACCTAAAATTTGAAATAATGGTTGAATTTAGCAATTAGATACTTCTTTTCTTTTCTCGGCTCTTCATTTTTATTTGCTCTGAAGTAAGCTTCCAATTTCAAACCAAAAGAAGGTATGTCAAAATGATGTAATTTTAAATTATTCCATTTTTAACTATTTCTTTAAATCCTCAATGCTCCTTACTGTGTCACCAATAAAACCATCCATAATGATCTTAATGTTCCTTATGTGTCCGATTTGGCATAATCTAGATACCTATCCTTCGATAATAAACTTCTGAACCATTTCAACCCCATTGTTTTTAATCTTGCTTTCTCTTTGATTCTTGATGGTTATAAGGACCCCTCAGAACAACCCTTCGTGGTGTCTGAGAGGATGGCCTCAGGACCTTCTAATATAGGACTATATTTGGAGTGCTAGCAATGAGTAGTTTCTGTTCATGTTGCACATGTCATATTATCAATTCAAATTTACTTGTTTTATTTGTTAACTGATACAGTTGTTGTTAATTTCAATATATTTAAAAAAAATACTTTTTCTTAACACTCAATATTAAATACTAGTAAATCAGATTAAGTTTTAAAAACATAATTCAATAACAATAGGAATATTATAATTGTATACAATAAATATTGCAATAATAATTTTGTATTGAGTTACAAATTCAGAACAATTTTGTATACAATTATTAAATATTATTGGGGGAGACGAGATTCTGTTTGTGGATTTCCACTTTTCCAGGGCGGGTGGGTAGGAGCTCCAGAAACTGCATATAATCTTTTATTATAGTAGATATATTTAATATATGATATTATTTGTAATGGTTCAAGAGAGGAATCAATCTAATAAATATGTATTTTGTATTTAAGCTAATTAAATAAGCATTATTTTGATTAGAAATGTAAAATTTTAACGTGAACCTCCTAATAACATTCAAGCCTCCTTCCTTCCTTCCCAAGAATACTGTTTCTGTAGTAATACAGAAAAGCCATCCTTGCCAGTCAAGTATTTTAAGATGAATTTGAGAACTAGGAAAGGCGTCAATTTTGGAATAGCTTTTATTCATTAAGAAGCTATAAGCCCTCAAAGTTTAGGAAGATTGACACTAACTTTAGTGCGGGAGGAGAACAAGAAATGTTCATAATATTTTGAAACTTACATCTTACAAAAAATAAATGATTAATGTTAAAAGGAATAACAGCGAGACTGGAAATTTTTTGTATATTGCTACAAGAGTTGGGCAATATGGCCACCATATTGAATGCAGATTTAGGTATAATGCAGATTAAGTAGATGAAATTAGGAAACAAGACTTATCAACTGTCTTAAAAATTGTTTTATACTACCTAGCTGAAATTTCTTCAGAAGTAAGATATGTAAAATGCAGAAAACTTTGACAAGATTTAGTTTCTGAATCAAGAAAGTTTATTGTGTGAGTAAATGTGAAAGGTTATGTCTGAGATTAAACCAACAGATATCCTTGAACATTTTGGCACCAAATATTTTGTTTGTCATGTGTACTCCCTAAGTTATAAGTTTTTAATCTATTAACCCCTTAATTCAATGACAGGCTGTCATTGAATTAAGGATATGATTTTAACTATATTAGATGTAATAGCTTTCTTTCTCTTTTAGAATAGGTATGTCATAAACACAAGCATAGAACACCATAAATTTATTGAGGAGTCTAACCACTCAAATTTGATAGTAAGAGTGTATACAAAAATTAGGATGTTGCATTAAAATAAAATAATAACACTATAAAACAATGACTTCAATCAATGAGTCCCTTCTCAGCGAAAATAAGCAAGACAATAATAAAAAATATATGATATGGTTGGTTTAAAAAAGAGCATTATGTTATATAAGTCAATAATATAATTTATGTAGAAAGTTTATTTATGAAAATTCTCACTGGGCAAATCTGGAGGTTGATGAGGAGGCTGAGGTGGAATTAGAGCAATTGCTCCCGGAGGGACTCCAACAGGACCTGGTGGGGCCCCACCTCCCGCAGGAGCACCAGGGGGTCCTACAGGAGGAGCTGAAACAACAAATATATTTATTTTATACAGTTTACATATGTGAAAGGAATAATTTATAACATGAGTAAGTAAAAGGTAAATATCGTGAAGATCAAACATAACCTAAGAATAAAAAATAATGGGGACCCTACAGGAGGAGCTGAAACAACAAATATCTTTATTTTATACAGTTTACAAATATGAAAAGAATAATTTATAACATGAGTAAGTAAAAGGTAAATATCCTGAAGATTAAACATAACCTAAAAGTAAAAAGAACATTGAAGTCAATCAAGAAAAATAAATATAGTCAGATTTTTTCACAATACTCAGACAGGTTACTGATATTTCTTGGCATGAGTTTTAAATCATATCTAAGTTAGCAGGTACCACAGCAAAAAACTCCGTTGAAGATGGAGTTGCAATAAAAGAAACTTTTACAAAAGAAATAATATATTTGATTAAACAAAAGGTTCATGAGAAATGGCAGTATCTTTGGCATCATTTAATGGAATAAATTGAGGTTGTCTGTTGTCGCAAATCGAGGGGACCTATAGTTAAAAAGAAGAGATGAGATAATACTAACACAACTTTGAATCAGATAATGTTTATTTTATGACACAGGGTATATCTCACTGTATCATCTGGTGGATACATTTAATAGCAACGCATATCGTAACAGAGTGTTATGTGCATAAAGTTCATCGGAAAGAATCCCAAACAAATTCTTTTTATTTCTTGAAAAAACTCAACTATATTACAAAATTTTATTTTATTTTTTTAATTATAATTTTAATATTTATATGCTATCTTTTTTGCAAATTTTCATGTATTTTACCTTCAACTCTATTGTTAATTTTTATATTGCGTAAGGGTTAAAATGACCGGTGATTGAAAGCCCCATATTGTTAGAGGGAAAGAAATCCTATCTGGAAATAAATATCATTTCAGTGACAGTAGATATTTGTGGCAGAGATCCATAAAGCGTGATTTTAAAAATGGTAGTTTTCAAGAATAATCTCTTGTATTTATTAGGTATTAATTTAAAATATCCCACAGAGATAATTTAAGGAATCTCACAATCTTCAACCCCTAAATGTGTGAATTATGGACTACTAAACAGGTCTAAACATTTTAGAAAAAAATGCTTATGAGTAAATGGATGTCTCCTTTGTTATCAAAAGTCAAAGAGTTCAGGGCATTGACTATTGCTGCATTGGCATTGCTGGACACATGTAAGTTTCCCCAACCACAGGAAAGTTGGGAAAATGTAGTAACGTAAAATAGTGCAGGAGATAATATAAGGCCAAATAATGTAATGCTGGATGAGTCCAAAAGTTAAGAATTTCTTGAAAAAGTAAATAAATATTTACAAATATCTATATAATATAATATAAATATTGAATTTATGAAAACATATTTCTTACTAAAACTATGGTAAATGATGATGGGTTGTGAAAGGTCAAGTACGTACAAGGTTGTGATGAAATAAAATACCTTATTTAAAATTTGAAATTGTACAAAAAAAAAACATACACCTTTTATTTTTGCCAATTTTAATTCCAAATTTTGATTACCAATTTTTAACACTTTCTGATAAGTCATTGAGTGAGTTTACAAGTTATCTAGATTATACAGGAAAAAATAGCTGATAGTAACTGCTAATCCTGTAGTTATCGCTATCATACCCACATATATTAAGATAAAGAGATTTTAAAAATTAAGTCTAAAGGAATAATTTTGTCCGATTAGATTAACAAAATATCCATCCCCCATAGCCAATGTGCACAATAAAGATGGCCAAATGAAGGAAATAAAAAATACAATAAAATATTAAAAATTAAATAAAACACTTTCAAAATCACAACTAAATCATGAATTTTCAAAATCATGACTGAATCATGGATTTAAATATTACATTGCTCTATTTAATGAACAAAACTTAGTGATAATAACTTATATATTATATAAGTTATAATAAATATATATGTGTGTGTGTGCGTGTGCGTGTGTGTGTGATAATGTAACAAACATTTAAAAGGAAATTTAAAGCGAACTGAAAATGAAGAAAAGGTAAGACTTTAAATTATTGAACAGTAACTAACAAATAAGGAGAAATGTGAGTTATTGCAAAAGTATCCCAGTGATGGTAGAGCGACTTAAATAACCAATAAAATATTTTTAAAAACCAATGATGTTGCACTATCATAAAGCTCACGACACTTATTTAATTATTTTTAATAATCTTAACAGAGCACTATATAAACCTTGAAGTAGTAACCTGAGGTAAAAGATTAATTGATATCAACTAAAGGAATTAAGAAATATGATTTTAAATTTTATAAATCAGTGTTTAATCTTAAAAAAAAAATGGAAGTTTTAACTAAATATTTTTTCCTTTTTCGTTTTTTGTTTAAGGCTATATTATTTATTAAATAGATTCAAAAACATTTTTATTTTATTTTATATAAAATGAAAATCGACTTCATTATTATACAGAAAAATAATATAAATATTTAGAGAGAAGATTTTAAATCATTTTATTTTGGTTTGCTTGAAAAATAAGCTACAAGTCATAGATTTTGGAATTGTGCAATAAATGACTCCACATAATATCATTGACCTTTTAACTTCCTAAAATATTTTAATGCAATTATTAATTTACAACACACAAAAATTAAGTTAGATAAAGCCAAATTTATAAGATATTAGAATTACTTTATATATAAACCTGATATGAAATTGAAAAAGATTTTTACAATTTCAAATATGACAATACATGTTTTTAATAAAGCTGTAGATTAGACAAAAAGCTTATTAGTATTATAAACACAAAACTAAATTAAAAGTTGTATAACTCTAAAGAAAGTCTACATACTGTAGTTTTAATTTTGTAAATATAATATAACCAAAATAAAATGAATACACTCTTTTATAGCTGATAACAACAGTTTTAATAAAGAACAGAACTATGCTATTTTTCTTTAAAAATATCATGATTGGTATCAAATTACTGACCACGAGAATCTGTTATGCCAAACATTTAAGAGTTTTTTAGAAATGAAGAATACTATTTACAATAGGATGAAGTCTTGTCTAAAAAATAAAGTAAAACATTATTTTAAGAAATTTAGCAGAGCTGCGTACAAAGTTCCTTCTTCAAACCCATCTAAAACCTCTACAGTAGAGGATGGCTTCTTGGAAGTCTTCCCAGTGCAGGTACTCTTCATCATTTATAAGTTCAGAGGTTTTAACAGAATGGACTCATTGCTGTTTGTCAAGTCAATATCAACTCATTAAATCACAGGAAGTTCTGACTCACCAACTGAAGAATTCCCACCAAAAAGTGACATAAATCCCCTTAGTTCTCTTAACCCCTCATATGCAGTGCATTACATGCTCAACAGTCTTCAGAACATCACAAGTGGGATGGAGATCTATACATGGCCAAAACTATGTACTTTGGCTTGGACAGTTCCATATCCCTTGAGAAATTGTATAACCTATATGAAGCTTTCTCACATTAACAGTGAGATATAATGGTCTCCAAGGATGGAATTCTGACAAATACAGTTTGGAGCAAGATACAGCGGCACTATCACTGGTTCTTTATCTAGAGATTCGTTTTCTGTAGGAACACCTCAAAACATCATAATTACAGTTTATATTACAAAATAAACAATAGCCAATTGAGTAAAGAATAATTAGCAAACAAGAAGACATCCAAACATTGCTCAATATTATATAAGTGAAGTTTACAAATTAGTACTAGTAACTGTGTCTGAAATTAACAAAAAAGTAATTTATTTTATTAACTACAGATTTCCATAAACAGGGGTCCAGAAATATAAAAAAAAAATATTTTTTAAAAATAACTATATTAAGAGTGTAAACATTTTGATTACTCAATATGTTTAAAAATGAAAACATGCAACAATGAATCAAATGCAATTTTAAAACTAATGTAATACATAATATTTACCTTGTTTCCATGATTCCATCAAGTATTAAAAAAATAATCACCAAAAGTTTTACTGATAAGATTGTTAAATATAGACTCGGCAGATAAACAAATACTACTGCAGCTAGACCAAGACCAGTTGACAACTTGAGGGCCATCTCATTTGGCCACAAACAAGGAGGGATTACATAGTGGGTCACTGATTTTAACCAAATTTTTTTCGGTGATACTACATCAAAAAATATTACACCAATGGCACCATCTTCAACTGGTTTGTTCAGTCAGGTACTCGGCTTAGCTGATGATTTTGATATTGTCGTAAGATCCTTAGAGTACTTAAGAGAAGCTTTTTCCAAGATGGGGGAGGATATGGGGATGTGTGTGAAGGAGAAGACAAAATATATGAGAGGAAGGTCAGGAGCAGACAGCAGATCGAGAGCCAATTTTAACAAAAAAGGTTGCTGTGACATCCCGGACATATAAAAACCTTAAATATGCAATTTCACTTTAGTACGACTTTTCGATTTTGAACTAGACTGTTAACACACAGACACATACACACACACACACAGACTATTTTGTGGAACTTTACTTGGTTAGGTGGGGAAGAGCACGCTTGAGATGGCTGGACCAGGTAGAGGACAACCTGAAAAGGAAGGGTATTCGAAGATGGAGAATGCTCGCTCGGGATAGAGGAGAGTGGCAAAAGGCCCAGGAGAGAGGCCCAGGTTCTTACAGGACCGTAGCGCCATAAATAAATAAATAAAAATGGTTATTTGGACTCAGGGGATCTCCAAATGTGTATTTCAGTTGAAAACTGAGTTTCGAAAATTTTAACGATCACAATACTTTCCTTTACTATATATTTCATATATAGATAAGGAATGAGCTGCATCAGTCGATACTATTCAGCTATACATATATGCAATAAGAAGCTATACCTAAAAGCATAATATTGAAACAAATTCTGATGTAGCAAAGGAAGTAAATATTTTTTAAAAAATATTAGTTTACAATGTTGATATTAGTTTTCCGCATCTTAAGTAAACCTATTCTAAT